CCGGTAGATCGCCGTCAAAGGTCCCCAAGGGCACGAACACCTCCATCTCATCGACCCCCGAGGTCGCCCTCCTCGCCGCGGGCTGGTTCTAGGCACGGCTCGCACCACGAGTCCGACCACATTCGCCAAAATCGATCTCGTCGTGCATCACGATCCACTAGCAGGGGATCGGGACCCAGAGCAAGGAGAGGCGACGAAGTACGATCTGGGCGACAGAGCTCGCCAGGCACAAGCGGGAAAGAAGACAATATGTCGGGACGTGGCAGCCACCGTGGAGGCTTCAATGCTCGCCACCAGGCGCACAACGCTTTTGCTGGCAATCATGGGTATAGTGACCCCTATCAGTACTATCACCCTCCCCCCCACTTCCCTCCGAACCCCTACATCAACTCACCTAACATGTCTCCCTACGACATGGGCGGCTGGGGTGGCTCTCCCCATCAGTATGTCTCTTTTGAAGCGGTTGCAGATTTATCAATGTACCGAAATATTTGCTAACCTGTTCAATAGCCAGTATCCCCCTCAGTATCCCCAGGGACCTCAGGGCATGTATCCGCCGCAAAACGGCCCCCAAGGACAATATCCACCCTCGAACCCATATTCACCTCCCCCATCTGCCCCAACAGGCCCGATGCAGCAATATGGCAGAGGTAGCAACTTCCGCGGAGGCGGTTCGGGCTTCCGAGGCAATCAATTCAGTGGTGCACGTGGAGGCTACCGCGGGAACAATTTCAAGAGCGCGCAGTGGAACGCTTCACAAACGATTGGAGGTCGGGGCTCGTCTGCGCAAGGCGACGATGCCAAGTCACAGAAGTCATCCAATTCCGCCGTCGCAAGCGTCAAGTCGGACAAGGACGATTTCGAAGAGCAACCAGATTCCTTCCGTCCGTCCAAAGACCTCCAGGTCGAAGACACGTCGCCCCCCGTGATCTCAGATGACAAGGAAATGGCTCCTCCCACGCGGCCTCCTCCATCTGGTCCAGCAGCACAATCTCCGGCGTCGTCGGTGTCGTCAAAGTTCAGTTTTGCATTTAAGGCATCTGCAAAACCCACTCCCGCGGTACCGAAACCAGAGATATCTCAGAAATTCAATGCTTTGCCTCCAAAGAAAGAGCTGACTCAGCAAACGGACGATAAAGATACCAACGACCGCGATCGGGAACGGGAACACGAGCACAGAGCTCGAGAGGACCGGGAACGGGAGCGAGACCGGGAGCGAGACCGAGAGCGTGACCGCGATCGCGAACGTGATCGCGAAAGAGACCGTCGTGATCGCGAGTACCGGGAACGCGACCGTCGCGAGCGGGACTACCGCGAACGAGACAATCGTGAGCGCGACATTCCACGCGGCGCACCAACAGAACCGGCATCTGCTAGAGGAAGGCAAGACGCAAGGCATCATCAACAACCACCACCTCCGGGTCCGAAGGCAGCACCAACGCCTCCCGCCCCCAAGACTCGGATTGTGAAGCAAAAGATGAAGCGTCTCAAGCCGCGGCTGAGCTTACCACCAGATCTCGTCAAGTCCGAATCAGTCTACTTTCGAAAGCCTGGCAACGAGTCGGTTGTTGGTTCTGGTACCTATGGCAAGGTGTTCAAAGGTCTACACTGCTACACCAAGGATCTGGTTGCACTGAAGAAGATTCGGATGGAGGGCGAAAAGGACGGGTTCCCTGTGACGGCTGTCCGCGAGATCAAACTCCTCCAGTCGCTCCGACACCCCAACGTTGTCGAGCTCAAGGAGGTCATGGTGGAGAAGAATGACTGTTTCATGGTCTTCGAGTATCTTTCTCACGACTTGACGGGCTTGCTCAATCATCCTTCCTTCAAACTCGATGCTGCCCAGAAAAAGCATCTTGCCAGGCAGGTTTTCGAAGGCCTCGACTATCTTCATGTTCGCGGCGTTTTGCACAGAGATCTCAAAGCTGCCAACATCCTGGTCAGCAGCGACGGAATCCTCAAGCTTGCCGACTTTGGTCTGGCACGCTTCTACGCCAAACGGCATCAGCTCGACTATACAAACCGTGTCATTACGATATGGTATCGGTCTCCTGAGCTTCTCCTGGGAGAGACGCGATACGGCCCAGCTTGCGACATGTGGAGCACGGCTTGCATCCTGATGGAAATCTTCACGCGCCACGCCACATTTCCTGGCGACGGTGGCGAGATCAGTCAACTCGACAAGATTTACAATGTCATGGGGACCCCGAACAAGGCTGAATGGCCTGGTCTTATCGACATGCCCTGGTTCGAACTCTTGCGGCCAGGTTACCGACGGGCCAGTTCTTTTGCCGCCAAGTACAGGGACAAGCTCACACCCGCCGCTTACGACTTGATTTGGTCAATCTTCAAATATGACCCAGCTAAGCGCCCGAGTGCAGCCGAAGCTCTTCAGCATACATACTTTACGACCGAGGAACCGCCTGCGCGTCAAGCCATTGAGTAAGTTTTCAAAACAAACACCCCAGTCCGCATTGCTCATTCTAATATACTTCATAGGCTCGCAAACTTGGATGGTGACTGGCATGAGCTTGAGTCGAAAGCACTCCGCAAGGAGAATGAGCGGAAAGAGAGAGAGGCCCGGCACGCAGCACGCAGCAAAGACGGTCGAGACCACCGACAGAAGGAGAAAGATCGCAAGCGTGAGAATGAGACGCATGACCAGCGCGGTGATGCTAAACGACTGCATGTGGAGGGTAAACCGCCGCAGCCTGTGGATCACGCCACTGCCGCTGCTGCGCACAAGGCCTAGCGGACCAAGGCGTTAGAGAAGGCCCAGGGCATCTCGAATCGCTGAATTGGCCAGCGACTCGCACGGCGTGCACATCCACGCAAAGGAGACATCACAACGTTCAGTTCAACCCAGGCCATCTCTCCGACAGAGAGAAAGAGAGGAGTGGCTTACAGGTTCATATTTCGAATCATGATTTTGGCGAAGCACTAATATTGCATGCACACGGCAAGGCGTTACGGATTGCAAGCTCGGCTGGTAGAGCTGGTAGAGCTGGTAGAGGGAGCTGGACTTGAGGCAGCACAGTGTTGCATTTGCATTTTCGGAAGGAATGCACGCTCCAGGCTACTCTCGAGAATGAGCATTCGGGGCGTGCCATGCACCGATATTCCTCCCGCGTCGAGGGGAGAAGATGGCCCGCGGACGCGCGACGGGACCATGCCATGGTGATTTGGGAAGGGGCGTCAGAAATGGCCGTGAGCTTGCGGGTGAAACGTTGATGTTCACCATGGCAAGGAGGCTTCACATTGTCTTGCCGACATGTTTATATACCTCTGTATATTGTGACAAAAGTCTAATCAGACATCATCAAGCCCATGCTTCATCGAGATGTGATGCTAGTGAATCATGCTTGGCGCAGTGATTTGTGGCCCATCGTTTCTCTCCCTTCCGTCAAGCTCCTTTGGGCAGGTTGACCAAGCGGACTAGAAATACTCTCTACACAGCACTTGAGGCGTGGGCCTTGTGGTCGCATCGCCAGGCGATACCGAGCGGTGGGTAAGGTGAGTGATTACCTAAACACCATCAAGCTCCACTGCACTAGTCCCCTTGTGTCCGAAACCACACGTCGCGACAACTCCCACCCGATCTGGCCTTACACGTAGAGGGGAGCTGCCGCCGAACCCAATATTTTACACCACGCTGGCCCGACCCTGGGACTCGTGCAAGACTGTGGACAGGCAGAGCTCACACGCACCCCTTCCCTCCCAGCTCAAACTTGTTGGTAAAATCACTGCACCTAGTCCAGCTGGCGGCAACCTCCCGCTGCCCCAATCCACCACCCACCATGTTCAACTCTCTCAACCGCATCCAGAACGCCTTTGGCTTCTTCACAACGGTCGCCTTCGTCGTCGCTACCTTTATCGCCCTGTCCGATGTCGTCACCCCGCGCGCCCCCACCGCCGGCGTCATCAAGACCGACTCGCTCCAGGTCGTCAAGGGCCGCCCGCACTACTACAGCAGCAAGAAGGAGGAGTACGCCATCATCAAGTTCTCCCTAGAGGCCGACCTCTCCGACCTCTTCACCTGGAACACGTGCGTCGCCCTCCGAACCCCTTGCCTTGCCTGCGGTTTCCTGCACCTTTTGAGGGCAGTGAGCCTACAAAGAACAAGAAGAACGAGGAGGAGAGAAGGAAAAGAAAGAAACAAAGAAAGAGAGAGAGAAAGAGAAAGCTAACAAGTCTTCCACAGCAAGCAAGTTTTTGTCTACGTGACGGCAGAATGGCCCTCGACGACGGGCGGCGCCAACGCCACGAACGAGGCCGTCATCTGGGACCAGATCATCACGTCGCCGAGCGCCGACCACCTCGCCAACCTCGGCCCCGTCTCCATGCGCAAGCTCCGCGCCAGCGCCGCCGGCAAGAGCATCGACCCCGGCCGCGGCAAGCTCAAGCTCAAGAACCAGAAGCCCAAGTACCAGATCACGCACCCCTCGGGCAAGCTCGCCGAGGCCGACAATGTTCAGCTGCGGCTGCACTACAACGTCCAGCCCTGGGTCGGCCTTCTGACGTGGAACCAGGACGCCGACCTCGGCGTCTGGAAGGCCCTGCGCGGGGGCACGAGCAAGTTCTTCACGCTGCCAGCCATCAAGGCGAAGACCAAGGCGAAATAGACTGTTGCGTAGTGTATCCTTGTCAGAAGCAGTAGTGCATTGAATCTTGTCCACACATGACACATACGTACAGGCCGTCTCAGTGATGTACTTTTTGTGAAAAAAACGAATTTATTTGCACCGCCTCCTCTCGCCAGCTAGCTAACTGTATCACCACCTCGTCATACCGCTTGGCGCCGTGTATATATGCTATGGATGGAATAACTTTCCTTCTGACACATTCGTCGACACGTTTCCGCTGGCTCCTCAACCTGCGAACACTGAGCCCGAAATCCGTGCAGAATATAACCCACCCAGAGAACCGAGCCAACATGAAACGAAATCAACAGCAGCCTCAGATCAGCAGCTTCGCACGTCTATCCGCAGCCCTCCAGACTGCTAGTTCTGAGAGGGGGCAGGAGGGGCCGCTCCACCACGAGCACCGCCACGAGCACCTCCTCGACCGCGTCCGCCACGTCCACGGCCCCTTCCACGCGCATCAAGAGACGCAGGAGGAGGCACATTGCCGTACATCTGCTGCTGCGGCTGAGGCGAGGACTGTGGGGCAGGTCCGCCGTTGGCGACAGGTCCGCCGCGTCCCCGACCGCGGCCACGGCCACGAGAGGCCTGGCCATCTCCTCCCTGGTTGCCGTTGGGATGAGGTCGATAGACCAAAGTGCTATGGAGCAAGTTGGGAACATTGCCGCCCCCGCTGCCATTTGCTCCGTTTTGACCCCTGCCGCCACCCCGGGGCTGGCCATGAGACTGCCCATTCATCGCACCGCGATAGCTCCCTCTGAGAGGCGCCGGCGCCGATGCGTCTCTGTACTGTGGGGTGCCATTGGGGTTGTAAGAGCCCGTCGTCAGCGATGTGGACGCGGGCGCAGGGCGTCGCTGAGTGGCGGCCTTGGAGCCCGAGATGACCTGCTTGTGCGTTGTGTTCAGGACGGATGAGGATGCCACCGTCATGCCCCGGAAGGGAGGAGCGCGTTCACCCAGTGTCGTACCGCTCATGAAGGTCACGTCCCAAACGACATCAAGCAGAATAGCCGTGGCAGTGCGTCCAATGCCAACCACGGTACCGCGGCTTGCAATGGGAACCTTGCCGGTTGCAGCAACATATGTGACACGGTCGCCAAGGTTGAACTTCTGGTTGCCCATGAGCAGTTCGGCATCCGTAGGCTTCAGAAGCGCCGACCGCGGAACGTTGTTGAGCTTCTTAGTCGTGGTGTTCTGCGAGATCTGGAAAGCTTGCTCGCCGGCCTCAGCCAATTTCATAACTGTCACAGAGTCGAGTTGTTCGGCATCAAGAGGAACCCTTTCAAACTTGCTTGTCTCTGCCGCCTTGAGCCATTGACCGATCTCCTTGACGCGCTTAGCAGCCACGGCCGAGTCGGGCCAGATGTCAGTGTCGCTGATGTCGCTCTGCTGCGCCTTGGTCTGGATGGCAACGAAGAAGTCTGGGAACGCTGCGACGTACTTGGCAAGCAGCTCGATCGCGGCGTTGCTGAACTCCCAGCCTGACTGGTTCTTCTGAGAGTATCCGAGGACTTTCTGCTTCTTAGCGTCGAACTTGAGGTTGAGACCAAGGTTGACCCTGAGGCCTCCCACGGTGTTGACTTGATACGAAGACAGAATCTTGCTGAGTATCAGAGGATGGAGTCCCAACATCTTAGCTACAGCATAGGAGGGCGTGAAGCGGTTCTGGCGGTTGACCTCCTGGATGATAGGCTTTGCGTATTCAGGCTCCTTGGCCTGAAGCACCGAAACCACAATCTCCGCCTTATTGTTTGCGTGGCCGAGCACTTCCAGGGGGCGGCCGTAGTGGAATTCTCCCAAGAAGAAGGCCCGCGTACCCGCGGGGTACTCCTCTTCGATGGGGACTGACGCCCTCTCAATGAAGCGCTCATCCTGACTGATGACCTCGTTCACAATAGTCTGTGATGCATAGACGCTCCTCATGCTTGGGTTCTCTGCGTACTCCTTGATGAGCGCGCCTTCCTCGGTCTTGATGAGACCCTTGAGCATGTGCACATGCACCAGCGATTCAACCTCACCAATTGTGAATCCCAACCGCTTGGCATGCCAGTTCTCGATGTACTGAGACTCTCTCGAGAAACCTTCAATCTCCCGGGGGCCATGGTTCTTCTGGACAACAGTCGTACCCGTGTGGTCGAGTTCGTAGTCGAATAGCTCATCCACAACACGGACAATCTTTGCTTCTTGGAGGAAAGGATACCCGACGAAGCACTTCTGGCCTAGCTTCTTTTTGGCCACCTCAGCCTTTGTCGTGATCTCCGACTCGCTCAGAGTGATGATCATGCTAGGGTTACGGCTGTCCTGTTGAAAAACGTTGACCCCGTATCCTTCCATGAGTTGGCCGGTGTAGGGAAGCGTATGAATGGAAGGGAAACCAGCCAGAGCCTCGGCACTGATCTTAACCCCGTCCATCAGGCCAGAACGATACTGCAGGCCTTCGGTGCTTGGCAGCTCAAAAATGTTCTCGACGCACCGGCACTGAGGAATGTCTGGAAAGACGCCAACCATGGAGGACGGGTAGGTGAAGTTGACCTCAGGGTTGTAAGTGAACTTCAGGGAAACACCGAATTGGTTTCGTGACTTTTCGTCGTCACTCAATTCCTCGTTAACCGGGCCCATTGCGTCAAGAAGTCGCTTCTCATCAATAAAGGGAATCTTGACAACTGCCTCCCATTCCATCTTCTTGCCGTTCATGTCAAGCTCGAAGTCTCGCGGATAGAAGTCGATGATGGGCGACTTTGGGTTTGTCATGAGATCCCAGTACACGGTGGGGACGATCGATTTACTTCGGTCAGGGAGGACACCCATAAGCTGTTCGTACGGACGGAAAGGCTGGCCCAGCTTGAAGTTCAGATCAGCACCCAGACCCTTGATGACGTCTAGATTATGTTAGCGGCAATCCCATATCGTTCGGCAGTGAAACTAACCTGATGTCAAGGGAGAGTAGTGGTAGGCATAGAACCAAGGCCACGAGGCAATTCCTCTGTAGTAGTAGTACAAAACCCACTGCAGGCCTTGCACATAGTTTTCACAAAGAGCAGTGAGCTCCTTGTCGTAGTTGTCCGGCGCCCAGTCCTCAAACTTCTGCAGGTAGTACTTGGTCTTCCAGCCTTGGTACTTCTGCTTATAAAGGTCCGCATAGTGCTGCTTGGCGTCATCTGCAGTTATGTCAACTACAGTTGCCTTGTCGTAATTCTTCATGACACGGAACAGAGCCAGGGTGCCCTCCTCCTCCTCCTCGTTGTTATCCTCGCTTTGAGGAGACGTGAGAATCAGATGACGGTGGCCATCGTCGTCTTCCTTGGTACTCCAGTCCACATGGACAGCGTCGGCAAGATCCTGCACAAACTTGCGATCGGCAGCGTTGAGCTCTGTGCCTAGATCGAGGGGTTCAGGGGTGGGTTTGGTGAGGTACGGCTTGATGTAGTTCTTCCAAAGGTCCCTCTGCGCGGAGGTCATGACGACACCCTTGCCTCTCTGCTTGGACTGCGCAGCGTTCTTCTGCTGCTGCTCGCTGATTTGCTTCGATTGAAACCATCGCTCATCAGAGACGTCGTGTTCGAATTGGTCGGTCTCATCCTTGGCCAACTCAGTCAACAGACGCTGCAGGCGTTGGAGATTGATGACGCCGCCTTCGTTGATGTATCCATCGCACTCGGGCAGGATGCTCTTATATATCCTAAACATAGATGCAAGTGCGCCTTCGTTGATGTGAAGGCGGGGGAGATGGGGAAGGAAATCGTTGCCAATGAAGAAACCCATGAGGATGAAGTCGTCGATGACCCGCTCAAGATCATATGGAAAGTTCAAAATCCCATCTTGCTTGAGCTCCTGGAACTCTAGATCCAGGTACTCACGGACGATACAGAGATGCAGAAGATAAAAGTTCTGATGCTCCAGCTCCTTCGATTTGGTCTTCGACGCACGGCCGAAGGTAACCTCTTCACGAAGAAGGCAGAAGTGGGGATCGTGACTGAGCAGACCAAGCATGATCAGGTCAGCATCCAGGCCGTAGAGACAGTGTCGGACGTTCGTATCGTAATCAGGCTGAGCCTTGGCGTTCCTGATATACTCCATGATTTTGTGCTCGCCCTCGCCGGGAACCTCGTGCCCGGAGAGAACAATCTCGCACTCCTGCCAATCAGCATCCTCAGTCACCTTTTTGTTGACAAAGTACTTCAGTTGACGGGAGAGCTTGGCCATAAACTCAGTGCCTGGGGATTGTTAGTCGTGGTCTGGACTTGGGGTTGTGTTGGGCGCAAGACGGACCTGGGGTGATGCAATTGCTGTCGAAAGGAGCCTCCTTGGGCATTTCCACACCATCTTTGATGGCCTTCTCTCTCGCATTCTCGGCATCAAGAGCCGTCCGGAACCGACGAGATCGCTGCTGGTTCATCTTGGCGCGCGGGGCGACACCGTCGATGGCCATGTAGAAAAGCTTTTTCGGCTTGATCTTGCCGAAAAGATGCTCAATGTAGTTGAAGATACGGATGAACATCTCCTCCTCACTCAGACGGAATGTCGCATCCTCTCCGGCATCCTTATGCGTACAATTGTGAATGATTCCATTCATGTCCAGCTGTCCACCAACATCAGTCTCGGAAGTCATGGCGATGCGGGGCAGGTCGGGAGACGAACATAGAGGGCGTCGAATTCGGGAATGCGATTCTCGGCAATGACCTGCGAGATGGCAGGATAGCGCTCAGAGAGCCACCTGAAGAACTTGGGGACACTGCAGATAGATGGTCAGCTCGAGTCCCATTTGCGATGCATCAGCGTGGTGGCGCGGCAGCGTACCCCATGGTGAATGTAGACCGGGTAGAGAGCTGGAAGCTGTGCTAGATGCTACACGGAAGCGCGATGACTCTGCAAATTTGCAGAACAGAGAAATGTCGGGTTGAAAGCCTGGAGCAGCTTCGGATGTGATTTGGGTGCTGGCGCAAAACCGAAATCGTTGCGTCTGCGACGGTTGGAGGGAAAGGAAATTTGAACGTAAGAAGTCAATACAGCCGTGAGCAAGATACAACACAAAAGAAACTCTAGGCTTCTTCCGATGAACAGGGAACTCGACCGTCGAGTTGTGTTCTCGTCTGATGATAAGTTGCGCGGTACGTGGCGGGTGAGTATGCAGGATGCAGAACAGGTCGGGAGCTTCAGGCGCCAGGACGGGGTACCTGCTGCTTGCGGCGAGGTCCAGGGAGTCACCAGTGTCATGAGTTGCTGGGGGAGGGGCAAATTCGGTGGGTCCAGGGCAAACCTGCCGCTCCAAGCGCGCGAGATGAACAAGCGCGGCTGATTGAGCGCCAGATAAGCTTCCTGATAAGGCTCATCTCAAATACCTGCCTTCAAACACTTTACGCGATTCGCGTCGCGTCTTCCTCCACTCTGACAATTGCGGCACGGATGTGAGAGGTCTTTCCACCTGGCAACGAACCACCTCCCACTTCATCCAACTCATCCCACATACTCGACCCCGCCGCACTCTTACACCGATCGCATTGGAATCTACCGAGCTCCATTCATTCAGCGATCTCGGTATTCCCAGATCTGCCCAAAAAGATGGCACCAGCGCAGGTGGTCGACGACGTTGACGGTGAGCGGAACACACTACAGGAGTTCTTGCGACTTTTGGAAGGCAGGGTCGCTAATTTACAGTAGTCGACATGCATCAGGAGGATGATGAGAATATGGAGCAGCGCCTCATCAACGAGGGTAGGTATCCCTCTCGTCACAGTGCGTTTTGGCGTCCAACTAACCATGGTATGCGCATAGAGTACAAGACCTGGAAGAAGAACAGCCCCTTCCTCTACGATATGATTCTCAGGTACGCATACAAGCTGCAGAACAGAACTATTGCAATGACTGACAATTTGCAGTACTGCTCTCGAGTGGCCGACCCTAACGACTCAATGGTTTCCCGACGTGAAGGAGCCAGAGGGCAAGAACTACCGTGTTCACCGATTGCTTCTTGGTACTCACACTTCTGAGGGCATGCCAAACCACCTGCAAATCGCCGAAGTGGAAGTCCCCAAATCCATCGAGCCGAGCACCGACGACCTCGACGAGGAACGGGGGGAGATTGGTGGCTATGGAAAGTTTGGCGGTTTGGCGCCCATTCGTTTCAACATTGTGCAAAAGATCGACCACCCTGGCGAGGTGAACAAGGCGCGGTACCAACCTCAAAACCCAGATCTCATTGCCACACTCTGTGTTGATGGCAAGATCCTCGTGTTTGACCGCACGAAGCACAGCATGACGGCTGATGGAAAGGTCAGCCCTGAGGTCGAGCTCGTGGGTCACAAGCAGGAGGGATACGGCCTTAGCTGGAATCCACACGAGGCCGGCTGCTTGGCTTCTGGTAGCGAGGACACTACCGTCTGCCTCTGGTAAGGGTTCCGCTCGCATCCCAAATACAGACGGCCCAGCTGACGATATCAGGGACATCAAGACGCTGCAGGAGGGTAGCCGCACTCTGAAGCCGGCTCGCAAGTATACTCACCACACTCAAATCGTCAATGACGTGCAGTACCACCCGGTCTCGAAGTCGCTCATCGGTACCGTCTCGGACGATCTGACGATGCAGATCATCGACGTGCGTTCGCCGGAGACCAATATTGCGTCCTTGTCCGCCAAGCGCGGCCATTCGGACGCCATCAACGCGCTTGCATTCAACCCAGCTTCGGAGGTCTTGGTGGCCACTGCATCCGCCGACAAGACTCTGGGCGTCTGGGATCTCAGGAATGTCAAGGAAAAAATTCACACTCTCGAGGGTCACAATGACGCCGTTACCTCGCTGTCATGGCATCCCCATGAAGCTGGCATCCTGGGCAGCGGCAGTTACGATCGAAGAATCATCTTCTGGGATCTTTCACGGGTTGGCGACGAGCAGCTGCCGGACGACCAGGAAGACGGCCCACCGGAGCTTCTCTTCATGCATGGAGGCCACACAAACCACCTCGCAGATTTCGCGTGGAACCCGAACGACCCGTGGCTCGTCTGTAGCGCTGCCGAGGACAACTTGCTGCAGATCTGGAGGGTGGCAGACTCGATCGTCGGCCGCGACGACGGCGACATGAGCCTCGACGAAATTGACCGTTAGCAAAGGCATCGCAGACTCAAGCAAGCCAATCATACTGTGGACCTTTTGCGAGAGTCTCTGCAGGTTTTGCAGGTCAAGCGAAAGGAGCATTGATCGTGTTGGCCGTTGGTAGGAGTCGATTTACGGCGTTTCGGTGGGGATCAACAAGCGGAGGGTTCAAGAAGCTTGGTTTCTGCCAGGTCATGAACGAACTCTCAAGACAGCCGCGACCTCGGGAGCTGAAGATTCTCTTTGAGTCATTGCTTTTACGAGAAAACCACGCCCACTGTGTTCACGTTCGAATAGCATAATTCTTTTCATTGCTGACCAATGGTTCTAAGTGCGAAGTAGCTTCGTAACGTGAATGAAGACAGACGTGACAGTACCCAACTATCCGGCGAGAATGTGAGCAACTATAGCTTATTGCCTCTTTCTACTTTGAAGTATTCCTCTCGATCCCGCCGTGGCCAGACCTTTCCTTGCCGGGGCTCTTCAGACGTGAGGCAGTAGAGGTAGGCAGACCCTGCTTCCAACAAACAGGAAAATGTTACTGAAAAATATGCTCCGGCCGGTAGTCGAAAGAGGTGGTCTACCAGCTTCAAACCAGGCAGTACAAATACTCGAACACAGGTTCATCAACTGACACAGATGAAGAACTTGGGGTTGGCAGACAAGGGCAGTTGCTGTTCCTTCCTCCACGGAGGTGTCTGCCTACTTACTACCCATTCACCACTCCAGTCTACCTATCTGCAATACTTTCTCCTGGGATAACCACCAGATTTCCCTTCCCAACCATCATCGTTCTATCAAACGAGGATATAGGTCCCCTGGTAACAACTGTGCGACCTCGAAGCTGATCACGATCAAAGGGCTCATCACTGCCAACCATTGCCGTATCACCGCCAATACCAACCATCATCGCACCTCACGCGTGATACTAACTGGACAGCACAGCAATGGATGTGGCACCATTTGAAGGGGTGCCTCTTGCACCCAAGGGTGCGACCCTTGCCGACTTTGACGCCTATATTGCCGAGACCAGGGCCCTCCTCGAGGACCGATACCCCCGGCAGACAATTACCAACGAGATGCTCGTTGTTGCCATACAGACTCGAGCCCGCGCCGAACTTGACGCCATGGAGGCTGCAGATGCGGATCATGACGCAACTACAGACGAAGACCTCGAGATGGAAGGTGTCATCCCTGACAACGACATCATCAACGACTCTCTCGCCCACGGCCCCGAGTCTCAGCCTTGGCGTGACGCCGCGGAGGTCGAGTACCACACTCGAGAGCACGCGAAACGTGTGTGCCGCAGTGACCCCTTTTCCTCCATCCGGCGCAGCATGGGAGGCATGCGCGTTCGCTTCAGCCTCCTCGAGTCGCTTTGCCAGCACGTCGAGCTTGCTGTCGAGCTTGGTGGTCACCTCGAGCCAAGGGACGTCTTGTCCTTGTTCTCCGTCAGCCGCACCTTCCACGGTGCCATCAGTGCCGTCATGACCTCGACCCTACGCATGTGGGTACGCCGGCATGCTCCTGAGAGCGGTGACATCTTCTCCTTTCGGCTCTACCGCCACCTCTGCGTCCGAGACCCCGCCGGCCGCACCAACGCCTTCGGCTCCAAGCAGTTCGACCCTTTCGACGCCGTCATGGCCCAAGTCCGCCACGTGCCCTCTTTGAAGTGGTACCAGATGGTCGTGCTCCGCGAGCGGTGCGTCAACGACATTGTCGATGCCCTCGAAGGGGGGGGTCAGCAGCTGCCCATTGGTACCGAGCGCAGCCTCAAGAAGATGTGGCTTCTCATGGACGTAGCCACGACGAAAGGCCGCACCACCATGATCGGGAACGAAGCTCTCTGGACCCACGCTGACCTGCACAATATTCAGTTCTTTCTCACCAAGCTTAGCATGCACTTTCGAGATCCTGTCTGGGCCGACCCCTTCATGAACACCCTTGTCAAACTCCTCTTGGGTCAGCGCACCCTCTACAAGCTCTGGCTCATGCTCACGCGACACGGCCTCACGGAGCTGGGAGACATTATTAAGCTCAAGGTCCGCTACGACTATCTGCCCGTCCACGAGCAGTACCGGCGTGCCCTCTTCGGCGAGAAGGTTCTTGGCGTCCCTGCTCACGAAGTTGGCGTCCTGCATCTCGAAGCCTGGGGTCGTGGTACAGGCCATCTTCAACGCCCGGATGAGCTGATCCGCACCGAGGCTGTCCGTCGCGGCCTCGATATTGACCGTCACATCATCTACATGATCCTCTGGGGCCAGAAGAGTATACCTGAGGATGATTTCCTGGACGAGGACGAGCTCCCGGACGCGGACATATTGGAAACCACCACATGGGCCGAGCTCTCCCAGCCCCAGCGCGCCGATCTTCTCCAGGAGAACCTCGACACCTTCCGCTCCGAGCGGCAGTTCCTGTTTGCGCGCCAGGCACGCCTCAGCCGTATCGCCCGCATCAACGCCGCTGTGCAGGCCGACATGGTCGGCGGCGGCGGATCCGCAAGCAGCGCACCGGCCATCAACCCCGACGATGGCATCGATTTCTCCGCCCTGCCCACGGAAGACGACCCCAGTACATGGACACGTACCGTCGTCAGCCCCGAGCCGGACAGCGGAGCCTTGCGCGGATCCGAGCCGACCCTGACCGAGGCCATGAGGGACGCCATGCGGCGTACCGACCGCGTTGATGGCGCGCAGTCCGACGACGACGTGCGGCTGTACATCTATGGCGTTCTGTTCGGCTCAGGCCTCGCCGACGAGGACCAGGAAATCAGGGCTGACAAGGCGTGGGTCGACTGGGAGAGCGAGGACTCGGACCCGCGGTGGCTCGAGTACGTCGACGAGATCAACGCCCCTGATGACGAGAGTTTTGAGCAATTTGATGATCTCGAGCTCTATGAGCGGCAGGAGGAAGCTCATGGTGAAGATGAAGATGACAGCACGGCTCCAGCCCTATATCCGGAGTTGACGGATGATGGAGACGTTGACTGGAATCTGTACGACGATCTGAGCAGTTCAAATACCCCGCCCGAAGTGTGATGAGAACGCAGCAAGCACATGGTTGAATGTTGGTTGAGAGACAGCGCTGGATGTTTGGCTGAGCAGGTTAGCAGGGGATCAAAGGTTGACACTGGTCATGGGTTGAACAAAGGACGGCGTTACTTCGAGCGACATGCATATACGACCGCAACAGCTCGCTGGCTCAGGCAGGTTCAAAACGATAGTATTACATATGCTCATTTTCCCTCAAGCGATCATTACCTGGTCGGTCTTGTCAACATCTTCACACTCGCCCTGAATAGGTGCCAAAGCATGATGGACTCACCTCTAGCATGCCAACAACAGTCGTCGTGTCATTACTAAGCTGCTCTTCGCGGACCTCGCCTTGGCAAAATCAAGCAATAGTATTCTTCATACCTAACGCCGCCTGCAGGATGCAGTTTTTACACCCCACCGGCTAACGGTATGCAACAGGAGATATAACTTGGAACAGACGAGTTATGAAAAGCAACACGTTTCGCATTCTCAGACGCGAAAGAAAATTAAAGCAGTCAGCCCGCCTGACCATGTTCACTCCCCGACTCCCCCAACTCTGCCGCCCATCCAACCGTGAAACCATCTTGAAGGGGGCAAAGCTCAAGCCAAAGCCAAAGCCAAATGCCCAAGCAAACTAAAAGTATTGGGAAGAGAACAAGGACGAAATGAGAATGGGAGAGGTGGAGGAGAGGGGTGTGAGAGTATCAGAAAAGACAAGCAGATCAAATAAAAAAAAAGAGAGAAGACAGGAAAAAGGACAGACATCGATCGAAGAAGTAGAAGAGCGAGACCGCACACCGAAGCCGAGGTTCCTTTCCCACTCCTTCGCTATGCATCTCTCCCACCGTACTGCCCCCTGGGCTGTCATGCCACAAGCCATTCGCGCGCAACCCCACCCAATGGGCAAAAGTCCGACTCCGCAGTCCAGTCCCCCAAAGTAGCCAGCCCTTTTGTACGGACTCTGATGCTCAACGGCATCAAACGCAACTCCGCCCAACGTGTTCCGAATCCGTCCAGTTGTAGTAACACTCTTTTGTCTTTCCCGCCTCGCAAACTTTTGTACCCGGTTACTCATGGTATTCTGACAACAACCGTGGCCCAAGATTCTTCCCCATCTTGCCGACCGCCTTACTTGAAACATGAAACAAATGGGGTTCCCTCGATGACCAGTGGTCGAGGGGTCGTTGATGCCAAAGCAAATGCTCTATCGTCGTCCCGTCTCAAAGCTCGTCCCGGGGTCGAGGGGTGGGTTCTTCAACGTCCGATGCAAAACGGCGATCGATATACAGCCATCTGGTGAATACACAACCTACTTAGGCAGGGGACTTGTTCTGAGGCGCGGAGCCACCATTCTGGCGAGCATCTCCGCCGGTCACAGAGAGGCCTCCGATGCCGCTAGAAAGGAAGGCGAAAGGGTCGTTCTCGTTCTGCGAGTAGAAGTTGTTCGACGGACCAGCAGACGCGGGTCCGTTGGAGGCAGACTGGAAGGCCGCCTCCGCAGCGCGGCTGTCAAAAGGGCCGGCCGAGTGTGCGCCCGGGGCCGGACCGAAGTGCGTGTTCAAGGACGAGGGGTACGCTGCGGCACCGCCACCGCCGAGGCCCGAGGGAAGCGCGTAGGTGCTGGGGGGGCCACCGAAATGCTGACCGCCAGCATAGCCACCACCGGAGCCGAAGTTGCCACCACCGGACGCGAAGGGGCCTGGACCAGTATTGCCGCCCATTGAGCCCTGGTTCATGTTATAATTGGAAGGGGGATCCATGGGAGACGGGTAGCCACCAGAGTCGGCAACAACGGCGGCGCCAGCACGGCTGGCACCGCAACGGAGGCAGCAGACATTCTTAGCAAAGTTGTGGTAACCACAGACTTCATTACCGCACTTCCAATCGCCGGCGCGGAAAGGAACAACACCGCTGCCGCCCATACGACCACCACCGTGTCCCATGTGACCGTGGTGGTGCTGAGGAGGGGGCATCATCTGAGGGGGCCCATAGCCGCTGTAGCCGCCACCGCCACCGCCGCCGCCGCCGCCGTATCCGATCTCGCCCGAAGGGCCGGCGTTCACGGCCGGGAAGGAGCATCGGAAGCAAGCTGTGCGCCTCTGGAAGTTGGAAAATCCGCACGAGGGGCAGGTCCAGTCACCGGGACGGGGGCGGTTCTTGCTGGGAGGGAAGGGCGTAAGAATCTCAGCAGCGCGGTCCAAAACACGACTCGAGGAGGGCGACACTTCGATAGCCTTCTCGTTAAGAGCGCGACCGTTCATGCAGAGGCTCTCAGCAGCCTGTTGAACGGGTCAGCACATGATCCGACTGGCACGGTGCAGTCAGATGGGGATGGAACAAACTCACCTCTTCGTGGGAGGAAAAGACAGCAAAGCCGCTGCCAGTGGGCTTGTGCTGCTCGGGAGTGCGCAGAGTCCAGAAGGCGATGGGACGTCCACCGAACTGGGTGAACCAGCTCTCAAGCTCCGACTGGGTAGTGTCGTGGGGGAGGCCTGACATGTGGAGGACCTTGCTACGCTCGGACAAGAAGGCTCTAACATCAGCACGAGCGTCCATGGGACGTGTCAGGACGTCGGGGTGCTCATGAGCAGGCTGAGACTTGCGGATCAGGCCACGAAGAACCCGGGCAAGAGTGACAGCCTCCTCCATGGCACGACGGGGAGAAGCAGGCGCCAAAGCCTGAAGGTGGAATGGCAGGTTGTGCTTGATGGGGGCGCTCGACTGGACAGGCTCCACCTCGAGAGCAGCGCAGATGTTGGAGAGCATCGAGGGGCCGAAGGGTAGCGACTCGGGGTGGTGCTGCTGCCATCGCTGGTACTCAGTACGGAGATCAAAGGTCCGCGAGTGCTGAAGGTAAGGCGGCAGGACCACAGCCTTGTCGCGGGCCTCGCGGGGCAGCTGAACCCGAAGGTCCCAAGCATCGAGAGTGACGAAGACAAAGTCAAGGTTCTGCGAGGTCAAGTGCTCATTGGCAAACGCATCAAAACGGTTGACAGCATCCCTAAAGGTGCCAGCGTTCCTAACATGTTCCCAAGTCAAGGTTGTGAGGCTCGCTGGTGGGCAGATGGTTAGCACCTAGATATTGGACCGAGTTTTTAGGCCGAGGCGCGCGGCCTTGCCGGGACGGCAGGGCGGCGGCCGCGATAGTAACCACAAAAAAAAAGAGAAGGAGCCGACATACTGCAGAGAGGCGTGATAGGAGTATTGATGGGTTTGACGAGGGCACTATCACGGACGATCTGGGTAGGGTAGTGATTAGAAATACGTCATCAGAAAGGGGAGGGGGTGGATGGGGAGGGCGATAGCTTACTTCCTCTAGGGACTTAGCATCGAGCAAAATCCATCCAAGCTCAATGACTTCAGCGGAATCCTTGGTGACATAGACACCGTGCTCGTCGCAGGTGGTGGCGACGTGGATCACGACGTAGCGATCAATGTTGAGCTGCGAGCCCGCTTGAGATCCAGACATGTTGGGTAGTCGGGGCTGGGTTCGCCGTCAGACGGAGCTTGTACTGTACAGTGGGAAAAAAAGGGTCCTCGGTATCGGAGGCACGGGAAGGAGGAGAGGGTGCCGTGTTGCTGCCTCGGATGGGTATCGCTGCTGTCGAGGAGAGGGAAAAAAAAAAGACGAAGGTATGTCGGGAAGCTTGAGTTGGAGAGACTTGACTCAGGCGACTTGGGCGAGAGGCACGAGAAAGAGATACTGGCGGATGAAGTTCGGAGGGTAGCTTCAGGAGTTGATGCGGCAAGGCGGAGCTTGATGCGAGCACGACCAAAGCAAGCAACGCGAAAGGGGACGGAGAGCAGCAAGGACGGAATTGACGCGGTCGTCAGTCGATACAGTCGAGGCGCGGGTACTTTTCTTCCCTGGCGGTTGGCAGCCGTGGGGGATGGAATCCGGGAAAAGGAAGGTAAGGTGGTAGGAAGGAGAAGCGAGAGAGAGGCAAGGCGAAGGTGGAAGGATGGAGGCAGCAGAGTGGAAGCCCAGGAGTTGGAAACAAAATTGCCCTGGTCCAGTCACAGGTGTGTTGGCGTGGGAAAGTACCTCTGGCCTGAGTTCGTTGACCTTTTTTCGGGACGAGGACGGGGATAGGACGTGGTCGACGCGGCGTGGAGTACCTTATTCATTGAAATGGGACCCGACTGGCACGACTGGCAGCGACAGGGTAAGTGTGGGTAGGCGAGGTACCTGGGCACTGCCAGTTGAGGTGACAAGATGACAGGCAGGTACCTACCTACCTGACTACCTACTACCGAAGGTAGGTACCTACGAGCCCAACCCTATTGGGGGTGGCAGTGGAGGCAATTAGTGCCTGTCCAGGCAGGCACCACCACACCGAAAGGCAGACACACAGAGGGGCAGGGACACGCACAGGCACCTCCTGCCTCATTCTCGGCCTGCCGGGGCCTAGGAGGCAGGGACCTTCGGTGCCTGGGTTGTAGGCAGGTAGCGCGCGGGTCGACGAACGATTCATCGTGTCCTTTACCTACCTACCTTGGGTATTAAGTGACGGACCGCACCATGAACCTCGTGGCATCTTCTGGTATGACAATCGTCAAAAAGGGACTGGAGGGTCCTCGATTCCCGGGGTTCGGCAACCCAAACATGTTGTCCTACGAGTGTGCCTCCGTGACGGACCTTGGGCGGGTGGCAGCGCTAGAGGGGAACCTGGCGCCCGGTGCCTGCATCCAGCGCCGCGGAAGGAGAAACAACGCCTCGGGTCCCTGACTCCTCCTCCCAAAGCTTTCCCACAGGCCACAGGGGGCCGACGTCTCCGCCGGGACCCCTGGTAAGCCGTCCCCGGTATTAGCGTCCATATCTCGCTCGCATCCATGCTTGCCATGCAATTGGAAATGCAACCGTGCTGCCACAGCACAGAAGGCCACATCATCAACCAAGCCAACCCCGTTTCGCATGGCTGCCGTGTCTCCTAGGGACCTCAAGCCAAAGCCTCCTCCGCCAACGGCCAACGGTTCCATCCGACATGACATCAGATGGAGAGAGTGACAGAGATAGAGATGGTGCTCCTTTGTACGTCAAGGAAATCGACGTGCGCTATGTTAGGTACGCACATACCGGCCCAAGGGCAGTAATTGATGCGAAGGATCCCTCGCCTTGTTAGATCCCGAGAATCGACCTGTCCAGCACGGTGCGCGGGAGGCCTGAAGGTACTCGCCTCGACAAAAAGGGGCCCAGGCCAGGTACCACTTGTTCCCACGATGGCTTTCTCGAGCCTACGCTCCAGACTGTGACGGCTTAAGCTTCAGCCTTTTCAGGCGAGCTGGCGAGTTGGCCTCCTCATTGTCACAGCCTTGCTTCCGATCAGTTCCGCAGGATGTAACAGCCTGCTCTGCATGGAACATGGCCACGGATGTGTCTGTCACAACAGCTTTGCAGCTTTGGGTAAACCCCTACGACTGATACGGATCAGGTGACAAGACCGCCTCTGCGAACCACCTTCGTGGATTCATGACCTCAGATCGAACTCATTGAATCTGGCTTGTGACCACAGTGCCGTGTGCTCAGACAGTTGGCGTCATGGGTGGTCGTCCACCCACCTTAACATGTCTCAATCAGACAGCCTCCAACTTTTGTTGGAGGCGTCCTCATCATACATGGTTACATCTCACCCCGGCCCCTCCCTAGCCTCAGCCGACAGAGCTAGTACAAGTAAGTGCTTCGTGAGCTATTGTGAGCGACCCCAGCGGCCGTATGACTTCGAATTGATTGACCAAACCCCCACGGAAAGGATTGGCTGCCGCCTTCTCTATCGGTTAGGGATGCACGACAGACTGCTTCGGCCTCCAGTTGTTGCAGCAGGCCAGGGCGTTTCGAAACACCGACGACAAGACTGTCTGCGATGGGTTTGGAATGGGTTGGGTCCCCTCACAACACAGCTCCGGCTCAGCCTGGAAGCAACTGGCAGAAATGCTGGAGGGTTGTTGACGCGAGTTGGAGGCCTGTGAAAGTCATCACGTTGGTCTTTCGAGGTTCCAGCGTCGGCGAGGCGTCATTTCGTTCCGACAATATCAGTCCACAATGATGTATCAGCTTCCGCTGTGTACCCTGTTCGGATCACACCACACACCGGGTCAGCCAGCGTTTGGACCGGCACCGGACAAGTTGCACGTTGGGCCACCTCGCGGCACGGCACGTCGCGACACCGCCGACCTGCTCCAAGCAAACAATTTGTCTCTTATTTCACCCGTTTGCGAACCAACAACTGTCGAGGAACTAGACAGTTTCTCCGTGCAATATCGACAGTGTTCAGGGGTTTGGTCTGAACCCGCAAAACGCTTTGACTGACTTTGCTCGACCAATACCCGAATCCAGCAGACTCGGATGTTTGTCCGTCGCCGACAGGGCTCATGCTTCCAGAAACGCGGAAGAACCCCTTGCCTGTGACACCACACACCCGCTGGTTGATAATGGCCGTGCTAGCCCACTACACTTGACAAGCCTGCTCCAGCGCTTATCGATACCGGGCTGCCTTGCTGGTGCTCATTTGTTCAGCGTTCGTGTACACAACAAGACACAGACAGATTGGCCTGGCAACCTTGCGACCGCCGGTACACTCGGAGGCACCAGGAGGTTTTTCTTGATTCTCAAGATTTGGCAGCTCGCCCAAGCATATTACCAAATTACTCTTTAAAGCGGTTTGAAACATAGACCAGCACCCTTAGTCTACCTGAACGACGGACTACCAGTTCAAGGCTTGCTTGCTTCTCAGTCAGCGATTCGCCCCTTCTGTAAATGTGGTGACTGGTTTGTAGCTGGTCACGTCCGACTCGGTCTTAACGAATTCCGGTAACTGGTCGAGGAGTCTCCATTCATTCGGAACTGAAATATATAACATCCAAGGCATCACCTGGCCTTCGGAATGGCACGCCATTCTTCAGCTCTCCGACGGGGTAGTCCGACTGGAGATGTTGGCCTTCGTTGCTTGACATTCGCCCAAGTGGGACAACGAGGAAGACTTGCGGCAGAGCCCGCGAACCCGCTCGGCACCATCACGCAGTCAATTGAAAGCACTGACTCGCGATGCACCCTATAAGGCAGACGAACGCAGCGCAATGCGAGACGGAGCCGACCGCTGTGTGAGGGCTCTGATCGAAGATGGCGGCGCCGAGCATAGCACAATCCGAACACCCGAGTGGGCGTCTGCACCTACGTCATACAGAGCTTAATTTTTCTACGCCCACGTCACGATGTCAGGTGTCTGGGCTGCGAACGATGCCACAAAACGGGACTAACGGTAGACGGGACGCGCAATCGTCTGAAGTGGCCAGCCAAGTGGTCTGGTATTGGCAGATTCTTGAAGACATTTAAGATGCCAGAGCTCAACCCAAAGTGCGGATGCGTGGAGAGCCTGCAACTTCGACGACTATCAACACTGAAGGCAGCATCCGCAACATCCTGACAATCACTTACAAAATAACATTAAAAAGGCACAAACATCCGCAAAAATGGCCGGTGGCGGAATCACAGCTCTTCTCATCGTCCTCGTAACGCTTTTCGGTGAGTGTTCATATCTGAATATTTCGTCTTGATGCTGACCTGAGCTTCCAGTGCCGCCCATTGGTGTAATATTCACAGCCGGCTGTGGTATGGACCTCGTGGTCAACATCTTCCTTACGATACTTGGTTTCATTCCTGGCTTGATCCATGGACTCTACGTTCTCTATATCTACTACGATCGACGTGAACAGGCTGCTACAGGTCGCATCTCGTCAAGTCGCGCGCCAGGTATCTACAGCGACAAGGTGCAGAGTGGAGCTGGTGCCGGCTACGGCACCACACGTTATTAGAAGCGCGCCCCTTCATCGAAATGAGCAATCCCACAATACGCTTAGTGATTCCACGAGAAAGAACACTTCGTAGTGCAGTGAGGAGGACATGGTGGTGTCACACTCGTGTGCTCTGCCGTGACGGGCGGGGAGGGTGGATGAGCGGTTGGTAATGCTTGTGGGTGTACAGCCCAAGGCCTGTCTTCGTAGGGCCAGTCAAGCTTAGCTACCAATGCAAGTCATTGAGACGATTCATCGTCGCTTATGCTACCCGCCTTGAATACGTTGATTGAGGAGGCACATGTTAAGAAAGGCACTGCTGCTCTGAAGACATCAACAAGGGTTCACGTCTTCAATCTCCTTCGCCCGTTTGCTTTCCAATATGTGGACAATTGGATGCTGTAGATAAGTCAGTATCTTTTCCTGGAGAAGCAGAAAGAGAAGGAAAAGGCATTTCGGCCAAAAGAGAGGGGGGTCGAGCCAGCAGGTTACAATGACTACCTTAGGTGCGGGAGATGGTGGTCACTCACGAAATTCTAAGCGGCTTCAGCCTCGGGCACTTGTCTTGCCGCCGCATGATTCGCCAAAATGTATCAAACGATGCGCAACGAGCCGAACTGTTTCAACTTCAACTCATACATGCACATCCAGGTGTTGTCGGTCCTCTGAACAACGGGACATGTTAGCCCATATCCGGCTGTATGACCTGACAATGACCCCGACATAACAGGCTGAGGGCTGCCTGTGCTTGGAAGTAGGGTTAGCAATCATTGGGTTTTGCATGTCAAATCAGGAGAGGCAGGTACTTTAAAAAAAAAACAATCGAACGGCTGGACATTCAAGAGGTCGAGTCGCATGATGCGACAAGGGGTCCCTCCAGGTCCTCAAACCCTCAACGGTTGAGCAGATCAGCGAGTCGTAGACACTTGAGGCAGCGAACCCGAAGAGACAGCCATGCTACATATTTTCCGTATCACCAAGCCGCTTCCCCCCTCGAATGGCGAAATGATAATGCGCTTCTTCTCGTAGTGGCCGCGCAGGATAGCGCAAAGCCAGCTCATCCGTACATTTGTATGTCAAAATTGGTTCAGGTCCACCATACCGTCCAGATACGGGCAACTCGTTCAGCCTGAAGGTACATATGAGACTGCCAAGGAACGTGGCAAGTCTGGTCAATATGGTCATCGGAACATGACATTGGTTTGGTCACGAGAGGAGAATTCGTATGGAGTGTGCAGCGTCCAAGACGTGCCCTTCATCTGTGATTAAGAAAAACGCGCTCTTCGTTGCCAGGGCCTCAAGCTTCAGAGCCTTGAACTCCACGGGTCTAATTTACTTCATGCACCGGCCGGAGCGTCGCGCCCCTGCAAGTTGCCAAAAGGTGACGACGAGGATATCCGAGCATCGGGTTCAATACACTGGATGCTGCGCTGCCAGGGACGTTCGCAATGGAAACGTTTGTGCTCGCGTGTCTGCTGGCTTGGTGGCTTGGCCAGTTGAGGTTGAAGAACGGAACTGGGGCGTGCGTAGCGGTGCACACGTGCTGTCATCTGAGACCTTTCCATGTGTCGTAGATCGCCCGGAGGCTGTCATGGTGCTCTAGTATTCAGGGGCACCATGCATAGACAACAAGGGCCTGTATGTGGCGGGCTGTTCGCGGAGGACGAGAGGTGGCATGTAGACAGTGAGAGGCTAAGTCGTGTACGTTTCGGTGTATTCTACCGATACGCAGGCTGCCATGTGTGCTGTCATTATTGATCCAAGCATGAGCCGAGCCACAGTAGCAGCATGCAGCATTGGCAGCCATAAGCGTAAGAATTCATGAGGTTGAAACCAGCGGCTTTCCCGGGCGACTGAGAGCCAGCACACACGGACAACAGGTAGTCATGAATTGGTCCTTCGTGCTCGAGGAACGGACCCGAATTGAGCCACGTCGACGTTCCACATGTTATGTGTCCAGAGAGTGGGAGTTTGAGTCAACGATGAGTTGAGACCCCAATGTCGACCATGGATGGTGCGTATAAGTGGAGGGCCCAGACAGTAAGTACCTGGCGAACAGGGGCTGAGAAAGCTACCACAGGGTGTGGAAGGAAAGGGCGAGGGGAGGCGAACTGGGGACGGCAGGCGCGAGCGGAGACAGTGCGAAGAGGAGTCGATCAGGTGCGGATCATGGTCAGAACAGCACAGTGTGGCACTGTTCGGCAGCTCACGCAAGTACGGCAACCCCGCAGCGGCGATTGGTTGGCGCGTCTTCTTAGGCTCCCCCGCCAGACTGCCCCTTCGTCTTGGGCCACCCTTTGAACGACAGCCACGACAGACGTGCAGCATGCACTCGTCCGGCTAGGCCAGTCGCCTATCACTGTCGTGCGCTCTCCTGCGCCCGGCTGCAACTCAACCTCCGGTCCAGCGACTGCTCTTCTTTTTTCCTCCTCTCCTCCTCGACAGAATCCTCCCTCTCGCGAGATACCGCGATTCCGTCCCCGTACAATCAATCCGGGGTGTTGCGAATTGCGTCCCGTCTGCTCCTCTTCGCTGTCCACTCTCCACTTTCGTGCCTCGAGCACCTCGGAACATAGCAGACTAACCGCCCGAACATCTGATCCGACTTGTCTCGATTCGACACTGCCCAGCACGCGATCGCCTCGTCTGCCTCCGTGTGGATCAGAATCCCACGCTCGGCCACAAACAGCCTTTGGCACCATGCGTCTGCCACCGGCCGCTGTCTAAACTATACATCCCATCTGCAGCACGACGCAGACCGGCCCCTGTGGCCAGCCACGGTGCCGTATGCCAGCCTGTCTGCCTCACTATACATAAAAACCACCATCCGCCGCACGACGTGCTAGATATCACGATGGACCAGACAAGGCCTGCTACGTCTGGCCAGTACGGCCGCTACCGACCTCCAACACAACTTGTCTCGAACGCATCCGTCGCTTCATCGCAGGCATCCATCTCCCGGCAACCCAAAAATTCAAGACGCGATTCATTGCCCTTCTCCTTCCCGCCTCTCTTCCAGCCGAACACTTCATCGACCTCTCTCATACCATCCACAGCAGAGGGCAAGCCGATTCCACTCGACGACGACACAGCTGCCCACCGCACTCTGGCCCTCCGAGAACTCAACGTGAACTACCCGTCGCGCAGCCGTTACGCGAAGTCGACAGGAGCTCAGAGCAGCACCAACTCACAGCCTGTGCTCGTACGGACTTATTCAGAGACGGAGAGCAGGCAGTCGAGCACCACGCGCAGCATCATCGCAGGAGGGAAGCCTGTTCACTCCACCGCAAACAACTCTGTTGGCAACGGCCCTGCCGCTTCGGTCAGGCGTATCATAGCATTTCGGTCGCCACTCAGCGGTCAGCAGCATGGTCTGCTGAGCATGGCAAGAGCAAAGTCGAAGAAGGGCCTAGGCAATCGTGATGCGACGACCAAGCTGCCGCCCATCGAGGCGTACAGCTTTAAACAAATGATGGCCAACATGGAGGCAGAGGAAGACACCAGCATCAACGCTGACCTGGACCGCATTGCTGAGATCTGTGCCAGATCTCGGTATTCCCTCAGCAACCAATATGAAGTCCATGTCACCCCACATGGGTCTGGCGCTGCGTTCATGGCCTCGGTGTCGTCACGACGTCAACAGCACACCAACGGACCCACTCTGCAGGCCGTCACCTCGGATGATGAACGGCAAGCGAGTCGTCTTCACAAGAGGAGAGGTGGTGGCGCCCGGCGGAGAAGCATGGCCATGGGCACCCTGGAAACCATCATGTCGTCGAGCGGCTCGTCGGAGGATGGCAAGTCCAAAAAGAAGTCCGCCAGCGAAATCACCCAAGAGGTTCGAGGGCGAGCAGAGCGGAAAGTCGAAATAACCCAGGCAAGTGCGTCTCCTGCCGAGCAACGCCCGAGACTGGAGAGCGTCACTTGTGAAGTCAGTCTCAGGAGGAGGAAGTCATCCTCCTTTGCGTCAGCCATGATTGAGAGCACACGCCAGTACCCGATCATAAACGACATGGCAACGCCACGGAGCTCGTCTTCTACGTTGCTAAGCGAGCCTGCGCTGCCACAGACGTCTATGAATCACCTCCAAGTACGGACAGAGCCAGAGGAGACAGGCCCAATTGATCCCAGAGGCGCGAGAGACCAAAGCGAAGAACACAAAAGTAGGATTTTTCATACAGGGGACTCGCAGACCCAAGTTCAGGGCAGTTTGCTCGGCGGTCTAAGTGGCTGGATGCCTACATGGTCGTTTCCTCCTGTGATGGGAATCAGTCCAGCGTCGGCGAAAGGGGGAAGCTCAACAAGCCATGCCGAGGGCAGCTTGCGACATCTGCTTAGGACAACAGATTCCAAGGGAAAGGGCGTTGATGGTGGCACCTAGACGTGCTTCGTTCAACAGTGTTGGACTTTCGTTTTAAGTCTGATTAAGTATCGAAAAGCGAACGGGAACTCCAGTCTTACGACAACACAGAAAGCTTGCTTTATAGATACCCAGAAATGAATGAAGGAGAGGTCGCGCTTTCGGTTGCTCTGTACAAATAGCATTCATGATAATGAGTTTGGGAGGTGAAATAGGAAAGGTTGTTGGCTTTCATCGTCTTGCACCGTCTTTCATCGTCCTTCATTACGTAGGTAGGCGATCTGCGGCAATGCCTCTTGCTATGCATCAAGACCCTTGGTGAGATTGCGATTACTGGCTCTAACGAGGAAACGGCGATCAGCCTGCAGGGCAGTAAAGGTTGTGATATCCGAGAGAAGAGGTAATACCCAGGATCGCGTCATATGGCTAGGCGGATCTTTGAGCAAGATACCCATTGGCGGTCTAATGTGGTGCCGGATCGTTGCCGCCGCCGCCGCCGAAACTTCCGCGTGAGGAGGCTCAAGAAATCGTGACAATCGCTGCCCAGAGACTTCCGGTCTGGGTCGATATTACTGCCTTCTGTTTCCCCTCTTGCGCTCATGCGTACTGGTCACTTGGGCGCATTAAGCGATCAGCTGGGGGCCGTGAAGGGTAGGATAGGTAGGCAAGCGAAGAATGGCTGGTCTTTCTCGCTGTCCGATCTCCCTTTCGAAGTACTGCAGTATTTTATCTGCAAAAGCCCTGGTGGCATCAAAGTCCTCCGGTAGGTCTTTCTTCCTGTCGAGTGGCTGTAAAGCTCAATCCATAGACTGTCCGACGACAGGGAGGGAATAAGAACTTTGCTGTCTTCGAACTGAGGCTCATGGCTGTAGTGACTCCCAGCTCTCCGAAGAAAGCTGGACTATTTTTGAAGCTCCTGGCGCTGGGCGCGCTACCAAGGGTGACACCTAGATGCTTGGCTTACATGAAATAGAGTTCTCGTATGTGTAGATAAGAGAGGAGTTTGGGGTTTAGATTGACCACTTTTGAGACATGAAGGCCAGATAATCAGCCTCATTTAGAGATCTATGTCAGGGCTCGTGGACCAGCAGAGTGAAGAGGTCCTTCGTAGGTCATATCCGCAGCCAAATGTCAGGTAGGGAGTTAGATAGGATCTTGGTCCTGGCTCTCCGCAGCCCTTATATACGTTCTCTCGAGACCCCAACCCCCTGTATTAGCCTCTCAACCTGTGGCTCAACAGGTGCCTCCTGATAGAGAGGCGCATATATTGACTCGCCGTGTTCTTCTCAACGACCCGGGCCCAAAGCAGAAACGAGAGTTCAATCAGTTGGTAGAGGTCAAATATGCGGTACGATTGACCCGACAGCTCAACTGTTGAACCAAGACCATGCTAACAGCATCCCTAGTTCCGCCATTGGCACGTCTATGCGTACCTGACGATCACATTCTTCGCGATGGGAGCAGCAAACGCATGGGATCCTGTGGCCCTACTGTCATCGCAGACTACGGCTTTGATTGATTGCAGGCCGATGCCTCATCCTTAGCTGGCGGGTGAGCAGTCATCTTCCCTGATCTCTTCATTAGGTGGATGGTATAAGTTAACACCTTGAAAAGGTTCTTTACGAGCTTCTATAGACTCATCTACTTTCCACGGTAACAAGACGTGGCGACGTGGCTTTCTGGCTCTCCTCTGAATCTCCCTATTTTTGGGCGTTTGTGGCGAGTCTAGCGAATGCGTTCTCGTTGAGGGGCGAACACCTGCTCGACCACAAACTTGACCAGCGGAGCGGCCAGGGGTTTGATGCCAAGGAGGCTGAAAGGGCTGGTCATTAGAGGGAACAAGCGGGGGATCTTCCTGTGAGTCGTCTATGCGCTTCTTCCTTCCTGGCGTTCGGCCACGGGATTCCGAGGAGGGAGGCTCGGGAGGTTCTGACTAGGCTCCGCGAGACCCAAAGTGTGATGTTCCGCAGGTTACATGGATTTAAAGAGGGGTTCCTGTTATTGTAACCCAAAGCCCATGTTCCACTACCTAGGTAGGTTAGGTAGGTAAGGTAGGTTAGGTAGGTAAGGTAGGTGAGGTAGGTAGGTAGGTACTCATAAAAACTTGTATAGCTTGGTAGAAATAGCATTTTAGCATATCATTTAGGTACTCATTCAGCTACATGAAGATATGGTTAGATAACAAGAAGAAGACGTACAAGATGTAGTAACCATACATATCTAGCTTACGTTCAAGGACCCATGCGTTTCTAGGTTGTCCAGTGACTTCGGTTACCTGCCAAACAGGTACAGTAATATGTATTTAGCGCGAAGTGCTGCCGGCTGGTCGCCAGAAAGTGGACCCCCAAGTCTCCCCATGCAGCTCCCTCCTTCGTCACTGCAACCTACCTACGTACCTACCTCAGACGTGCATTTTCTGGCTGGTCTGTTCTTGCCATCACTGCCCGTACCCCACTAGTCCTCACAGACGGCTGCACACGATCACCAAGAGCACCACAACACAGCAGCACAGGTCTGTCGGAGAGAATTTGTTCATTTACTGTCTATCACTGCCATGCCGCGAAACCACTGTGAGTGTTTGTATGCAAGGAGCAGCAAAGACGCCCCCTCTGACAGCCTGTGTTTGTTCCCAGACCGAGCCAATCCGACCTCACATCGAATGAAAGCGACTCTTTCGTGAACAAAGGGCTGACCTCTGGTCAGCATCTGGCACGAGGGCTCTTGCTAAGAAGGGGCCCCTCAGAGGCCGACTGGATTCCTCGTCCAGCGTATGGCAAGCGATATTTCCAGGAGCCGAGCATGGTTTTGACATTTTGCTTCAGCGGTCTCCGTACAGCGTGCCGAACGAAAAGTGAAGATACCGATCCCATCTGGATTTACCGAACCGAACATCCCCTGCGCACAACACAGGCCGCGACCCGGCCAACGCCTCGAACTCATCGCTGATGTATTTGCAACATCATGGGGTCAAAAAAACATGTCCTGAAGGGCACTTTCCAACCCCAAAACAACTTGAAGCCGGAGGGTGGCTTCATGGGGAGATTCAGAGACGTGGGCCACAGTATGGCTCGGTTTCTACCAAAGTTTAAGGACGACTCCGATGATATGAGCACAGACAACGCACCGGAGGCCAAAGCGACACAGAAACCTCATCGTAGTGGGCTGATGTCCCAGAAGGCTACGAGCTCAAGGTCTGGCGACAAACGACGACAGTCCCCAGAGATTGACGAGCTAGCCGAGGACGAGAAGCACCATGCGAAAAGACAACGCCGTCCGAACGACCTGAAGACACCGCCCAGAGTTGATATTGCAGCACTTGAAAGCCGGCGGACCGTTGCCATCGCCAAGCGTGATGTGGAAGAGGTACAACGGATCACGGACCAGCTCGAGGGCAATCGGTTGTCCTCCCGAACCTATCAACAATCCTCAAAACAGCCCCCTGAAGCTATTGACAGCGACGACGAGCTAAATGCATCCCCAACAAAGGAAATCGACGCCTCGAGGGACTCACGCATGTCGCTCAATGGCCAAGTCTCGCCCTTGAACCGTAAAACTCCAAAGGGAGATATACGCAAGACGAAATTTCAAGAGAGGCAAGAAAGTCAAGATGAGGAAGTCACTGTTTCTCGTGCCGTGTCGGGCAAGGTTCGCTTTGATGCCAAGCAATGTGGTCAAATAATTCGGCTGAGACTGAACAAAAAAGATACCTTCAGTCTAGTACCAGTCGACAAAGCGGGCGAAAAGCTGGACATGCAATGGTTGACACTGACGCTGCGAGACTGCATTAAGATCAAGTTCTCGGAGGAGTCACAGCATCTTGTCTTTTTCCGGTCATACAAGTCGGTAATATCGCCGAAGTTGTGTATCGAAATCCCGTCCATTCCGGATGTCATTGCAATTATTCGATGGATTTTTAGCGCGATCGCCACAGGAGCCCAGGATCTGAAATCTGTGAAACTCGAACACCCACCACGGTATGTTGACAGACCGAGCTGGTCGAGGATTGTAATGCTTACTCTTTCTAAAGTGAAACGCTTCAAAAAGTCTTCGACAACCTGTACCAGAGCGCTCCAGCACAGGTAGATCCAAATATGCATCGGATCAGGGATCCCGAATCGACAGATGCTGCACAAAATCATATACAGCAAGACAAACGCCGAGGTCTTGATCCTCGACTCTGCCGACAAGGCAGGGGATCTTCACCGCCGTCGCCCGAGACCGCAGAAACCACTAGGCGTTTATCTCTTAGAGATCGAATGAAAGTTGGCTCCAACTCGCCTTCAGAGGTCGATAAATCACAACTTCGCCGCAAAAGCCCCCGAAGTCGTCAAGTAGAGCGTCGCACAAGTGACGACATAGAAACGTCGTCTACAATGACTTTCACCAACAATCAATGGATCAAAAACTATCCAGATTGGGACAAGATGTGGGAAGACAAGCCACTGATCTATCCCGCCAGTGGCAAGAATCGCGCCCAAATCATCAAGGATGATATTTCTAGGCTCGAAGAACACCAGTGTCTGAACGACAACCTCATCGTCTTCTACCTCAGATACCTTCAGGATCAGCTGGAAACTGAGAATGCGGGATGGTCGGAACGAATCTTGTTCATGAATCCTTGGTTTTACGAGAGATTGGGCCAACAAAAGGGTCGAGGTGTCGACTATGACGCGGTCAAGTCATGGACTGCCAAGATCGACTTGCTCTCCAAAGACTACATCATTGTTCCAGTAAACGAAGCAGCGCACTGGTATCTGGCCATCATCTGCCATCCTGGGAAACTCCTTCCAGCGACGGCGAGGGATGACAACAAGACAATTGTCACAAATGTTGGTGAGGAGGACATGCCTCAGCCGGGAAGCCAGATACAGTCAACTCCAGACGCAGCTGTTGATGTGCAAGATGACAGTGAAGCAGATGTTCGGATTGTCTCTGACGTTGCTCCTGGCAAGTCTCCCAAGTTATTCAAGGAAATTGCCTTGAGCAAGGCGCAAACCCGGAAGCTCGATGGTGGGGGGAAACGTCCAGCGGAACCCGGCGACGCTAGAATCATTACTCTGGACTCCATGGGGAATACCCACTCACGTACTTGCACCAACCTCAAGGATTACCTAGTACAGGAGATCAAGCACAAACATCGGATCGACGTCGAAACCCCGCCTCGTTTTGGTTGGACCGCCAGAGGCATTCCCGAGCAAAGCGATTTCAGCAGCTGCGGTATCTTCCTCCTTGCGTATGTCGAAAGGTTCCTGAAGCAACCAGATCAGGTCATCAGCGACATCGTCAATAAGAAAGACCTTGGATGGTCGGACATCGACCCAGTCGCCATGCGTATTAATATCCGAGAGCTTATAATAAGGCTACGACAAGAACAGAACGTCCAGCGCGACAAGGAAAGACAGGCCAAGCAAGACGCCAAAGCTCTTAAGCTGGCGCAAAAGAAATTGGTCATTCCAGCCGTGGATTCGTCACCGGCACACGCTGCTCAAACAACTGGTACGACCAATCCACGCAAGCCAGTCCAGGAAATCCAAGTTTCGAGTTCTGACCCTCCGTCTAGTGGAAAGACCGGCAATCTCACCGCCGCAGACCCCCAAGATGGCCAGTCCCCGTCAGACCAAAACATTGGTTCCTCGCCAAAACCCGTTCGGCCGCCTCCCCAATCAAACCAGGCTCTGAAAGCATTGCCTTGTAGATCGCCGAAGGTGGGCCCCTTGGTAGATACTTCGGATATCGAGCGCCTGGCCAGTAGAGACGACAGTTCATTCGTCCCGCCAATACTATCTAGCAGTTCCTCAGAACGAGGGACGCCTAAGCGGAAAGAGCCACATGACGAATTGACCCTATCGGAGGCCAACCCACCTGCACCTCGCCGCCAGTTTCGTAATCCAAAAAAGCGATACGATGGGATGGTTGCTCTTGAGCGCAACAGCTGGTCGTATCTTAGCATGTCTGGTGACCATGATGAACGGCCCGAATCGCCTGAGAAACAGCAGACGAAGCATGCAGAACGAGGAAACAGCCAAGCCATCGTTGTGGTCGATGAAAGTCCACAAAGCGAGAAAACATCGGAAAAGAGGACGACGAGTCCCCACTTTACACTCAGCCCCAGCTTGGGGCGTCGAAGTCAACGTGGTCTAGTAACGCGAAATACGCCTTCTCGAGGTGACCGAGGCAAGAAGGTTGTCTATGGGGGCACTGGACGCCGGGCGGCCAACGGCGACAACAACATTGATCTTACGGGTGCGGATTAGAGCGAATATCCTTATGCATGATACCCCGGCGCGGGCTGGACATTGATTTCCATTTTGGCCGAACTACAGTGACTGGGCACGACGAGAGACTACATACCGCGTGTAATGAAATCACGGGCAGGCGTTTGGACTTTGCATTGCGACTTGCTGTGGTTGTCTTTTGGCTCCCGCGGCTGAGAGTATTGATCAAACGGGGCTGGTTTGACTCCTGACAGATTAGGTAGATGGCCGAGCACACTGTGTGAGTGGTTCAGAGAACACAATGCCGAACGATCAGTTCATAATGCTGTCCCTCAAGAAATGTGATTGAAGATGTCTTGACAAAGGCCAAGGCGCCCTGTGTCTGGAAAGAGTGATGGGGGTGCTTAACAGGTAGTAAGGGGCGTAGTCCGACCAAGTATCGTTCGCTCACTCATATTATACACAACCCGAATATGCAGTCTAATATGCACCAGCCGCTGACTTGATTCATTCATCGTCCTCCATCTCTGGGTCCTTGTCATGAGCTCCGTTCACCTCCGGCTTTAGGGGTATTGATCTTGGCACCTCGAACACGTAGCCTCCATTCTTGGCCGACCCTTTGGTCATCTGCCAACGACCCAGCCTGTGCTCCTTTCCAGCGGCAACAACAACACATAGCCCGTCCTTCGCCTTCTCCCCGCGCTCAAAGATAGCAATGTCATTTATGATGCCCCTGATCAGGAACCCGTCTTGCTGGGCGGGCTCTGTATCCATGTCGACGTCCGAATCGGCGGCGGAGACGGGCAGCCCCTTCCCGCCGCTGAGGACGCCGCACGGCTCCAATTTCCGCTTGTCATCGCTGAGCTTCCACACGCGAACATAGCCGTCCCAGCTGCCACTGAGAACAATGTCGGTGTATGGGATTGTCCTGAGCGCCGTGATCCACCTTGGCTGCGGCGGGGGCACAATATCGTCGCCAGGGGCCTTCTCTGCCGACGCCTCTGTGGGCAGCAGGCGCTTCTCCAGGCCGTGGGCCATAGGGATCATGTGCATGGGCTTCTTCTTGGTGACGCTCCATAGGGAAAGGGCACCACTGTCGCTGCCAGTGACGAACAGCTCGTCGTCGATCATGGCAACGCGTTCCATGCTGCCTTCGTGTGCGATGGAACGTGGGTCGACATCCTTGAGGGGCCTCTTCTTGTCGACGCCGCTGCCGCCGCCGCGGAAGACGAGCTGCGACTCCTCGGCGACCTTCCACAGGCGGGCGGTGCGATCACGAGCGCCGACGCTGACACAGCGCTCTTGGGCGAGGGCATCGATGTCGACGACTTGGTCTTGGTGGCCGAAGAGAGTCTCGACATAGGCAAGCTCGTCCAGGGACCAGACCTTGACGGTCCGGTCTCGCGAGCAGCTGTAGAGCTGGTTCGTACCACGGCGGAAAGCCAGGCCCGTGACGGCATCACGGTGATGGGTGAAGACGCGAATGGGCTTGAGCGTCTCGGCGTTGTAGACAATGAGACGCTTGTCCTCGCCACCGGTGACGAGATACTTTCCGTCTGAGGAAACGGCCACACAGAGAATGCGGTCGCTGTGTCGTTGGGAGGACTTGTTCGTGGGGTCACCATTGCCCTTGAGCCACTGCTCGAGCTGGGGTTTCCTCCGGGGCGGTGGCGGGGGCTTCTTCGACTTTGACTTCTTCTTTTTGGTCTGGGTCTGGGGGAACTGGTCCTTGGGTAGGTCCTGTATCCTCCACTTGTGCAGGTACATGTCCTTGGTCGTGGTATAGGCGTAGGGGGCGTTGACAGCGACGGATGTGAAGGTCTCTGCGTTGTTCTTGAAGTAGGTGTGCGTCGCCTCGTCAAAGGCAAATTCGGATGCCAATTGGCGGTAGACTTTTCCCTTGGCTTCCGCGACGTCCTCGATCAGACGCTCCGCGATCAGGTCTCGGTCAATGTCTTCGGCGTTGAAGCCCACCTCGTCCACCTCCTGCCGGACATTGTCCAGGTACCTCTCTGCCAGCCTCAAGCGGCGCTCTGCTGCCGTCTCGCCCTCTCCCTCTGACCCGGAACCTTCCTCCTCTTTGTCCGATACGCTGACAATGCTCTCGTCATCGCTTCCAGAAATCGACTCGTCGTCGTCGTCGGCAGCGGCAGCCTTCTTGCCGGCAGGCGCGGCGACCTTGGATTTGGAGGCGGCACCTTTGGCACCTCCTCGCGGGGCGGCTCGACCTGGGCCCTTGGATGCTGCAATTCGCTTTTTGGGTGCATCTGAAGCTTCGGGCCTCTTCCGCTTCTTGTTCGCCCCGGGGATGGTGAAGAACGACGACATGGTTGGAGGCACGGTTGGGCGACTTTTGCGTGCTGGGCTGTTCTGGCTTCCAAAAGCGACCCGCCGACTCTCTGGCTCTCACGAACTTTTTGGAGGGACTGGAAAAAAAAAGTTCGGAGGCAGCATTGAGTGGGTCCCGGGGGGGATGCTCAGTGGGGCAGCATCTTCCGTTGCTCCATTACCGCCCAAAAAGCACTCTTGCTGGATGACTGACTGGGCGGTCGGGGGCGGCAGAAGATGCCTTGGGGGCGCGGCTAGGCTGTAGCTTTGCGCGCGTCAGTCAGGGAGCTCAACTGGGGCTGGCTGGCTGCTGGGACCTCCAGTGCTTCGGAGAGGCTTGAGGTGGTGCACCTACGAGCAACAACCGCATTTGCCCATAACGACCACATAGCTTCCATACACGACAACGACAGCCACAATGTGAGCATGCCCACCGAGACGACCTCGAATTGTGCTAACAACGCCACAGGGAGGTGCTTCTCGGAATTACGGGCAAGGACTTCACCATCATCGCCGCCTCCAAGGCTGCGATGCGAGGCGCAACCGTCCTGAAGGCGTCCGACGACAAGACGAGGCAGCTGAACAAGCACACGCTGATGGCCTTCTCAGGAGAGGCTGGTGATACAGGTTCGTGACCACGGATGCCCCTTTGATTCCCTCGCATGTGCCCCTGACTGACGGTTCCTCCCCGTGCAGTACAATTCGCCGAATACATTCAAGCAAACGCCCAGCTCTACTCGATGCGAAACGAGACGGATCTCTCTCCATCCGCCATTTCCCACTTTGTCCGCGGCGAGCTCGCCTCCAGCCTGCGCTCCCGGAAGCCCTACAATGTCAACCTCCTACTGGGCGGTGTCGACCCCATCACTCTCAAGCCCGCGCTTTACTGGATGGACTACCTCGCGTCGATGGCGCCCGTGCCATATGCCGCCCACGGCTACGCACAGTACGTCTGGGCATGATTGTCTGCGTACGTCTTTCATCTTGCTGACCCACGTGCAGATACTACTGCCTCTCCATCCTCGACAAACACCACCACCCCGATATCACCCTTGGCCAGGGCATCAAGATCCTCAACATGTGCACGGACGAGCTGAAGAGACGAATGCCCATCGACTTCAAGGGCATGCTCGTCAAGGCAGTCACGAAGGACGGCGTGATTGATATTGAGTTTGACGACGACAAGGTAGTCAAGAGCGCCTAAGTGTCAGCTGTGGTCACGGTGCGCGGAGGCGGAGGATAAAGGGCCATCAACGATGGCATGTATTACTAGACTCGGTCGGTCAATGATACAGGCGTCGATTTTTCGAGGCTACGGCATGCTAAGAACCCATGTCTGTCTTTCTGCAGTGATAATGCTGTGACAGCTGCCTTCGCTGACACTTCTGTCAACCTTGCTTTGTTGTCCTTTTCATCTACAACCAGTGCACCATACCCGTCAACACGCAAAGTCATAGCTTTCTGAAGCAAGCTTGCGCAGTCTCATGCTTTTCTCTCTCGATGAGGCAGCGTCCGCCGCATCAAGACATGGTCGTCGTAGACCAGCCTGCCCATTATGGTCGAGTTGAGGAACAGGTGTCCGTGCTTCCGGGGCGCTTTACGACGAAAGCGAACGCATCGTTACACGGGGCTCGGCGTCGCATGGCAGAGAGCTCTTGCTTTTCTTGCTTTTCTTCGGCGTTACGGCTTAGACTTGAGGTGTATCGACCAGTGCGTACATTGCAAGTTACGGTGAATCGAGCCGTGCCCGATCCAATGATCTCAAGACCCTGTACAGCCAGTCGCACCCACATGTCTTGTAGTGCGGCTCAAAGTCAAGCACCACGCTCATGTTGGCCTGCAATTTGGGCCAATAATTTGGAAGACCACTATACTTTAGGCTCGTAGACCTTAGTCAGGAAAGCGCCAGACATCTGATGCTGAGTCTGCAATCGCAGCCACCTTGGGCAGAGTAGATCGTTCAGAGCATAGCGGGATAACCTTCAAACCGAACTAAACGTCTAAATCAAGCGGATGCTCTTTCACAGGGTCTCCCAGGAGTAACCGGAGACGAGCAAGAGCAAGGGTCGAGGTTCCTGCAAGTCAGTGGTACTTTCGCAATGAGATGGCAGTGCTGTCCGAGTATGTATCCCACGAAGGTACCGCTCATCCTTCCCACACCACCCCATCTCATGTGGCTGCTATGCAACCACGTATATTTGGTGTCACTGGGCATCGTCACAAGACCCGCAGACCTGGAACCTAACAACCAACCCCTACAACGACGCTGTGCTATCTTTTCGTACCGGAATCACATGATGACCGCAGTAGTAGACTTCTGCAATAGCAGCTCGCAATTTCTCCGACAGGAACGTGAGGCCATAAGTTCCTGCCGAAGGACAATGGGTTGGTCAGGATTTTGCCTCTTGCTAGTGTTGTTCTTCTGCGGTTCCCTTCCAAAGACGCTCTTCCCGTCCTTCTAGCTGGTGCATGTCGTGCCACTGCCGCCGGCCTGCTGAAGAGCGTTATGTCATCGGTCGACAGTGGACTGAGTCGTAGCGACACGTCGACGGTAGGGGGGGGGGGGGCTGGCCCAGTTTTCCCTCGAAATGGCAAAGCACATGCATTTGGGTGGCCAAAGTGGTACAGGTGCTGGGGTGTGCTGGCCACTCACAGAGCAGGCATTCCGTGTTCCGGGGCCCGTGCTCATTCGCTCTCACCGCGCAGGCCGCCGCAGGGCCACTACACACCCACAGGGCAGGAACTAGGTAACTACGCGGGCGCCCTTGCCCCAGGACCTCCCACTGGCAGAAGAAGGGGGGTGGGGGGTGGACAACGAAAAGCACAACTGCCACCCACTCCCAGTCAGCAGCCAACAGCCAGCTAAGTCAGGGCGTCGCAGCGCCCCTAAACTTTTGCGGGTCGCAGGGGTTTGGTTAGGCACCTTCCGACAGTCCTCAAACCGATTTTTTTTTTCCTGTTGCCTCCCTACAGTTAATGATTCTTCTCTTTTCTACCTTCCTCCCACAATCACCTCTCTCCCACAATCCTCCTCTCCTTCAACCACCAAAAAGGGACTCGTTTCCTTCCATCCTCCACACGCGCAACAATCTCCTCCGCATCGTCATCTTTGTCTTTTGTTTTCCTTTTTTCTTCGGGAAACACAAGATACTGACGTCCTAGCCTAATCAGTGCCTGAGCGAGAGCACCTGCTTAGACGACACAAACAAACTTCGAGAGACATCAGAAGACATCCGCCGTCTTCTTTTTCCCTCTCGTCATCCATCGTTCGTCTTTTGGTTCGACTGTCATTACGCGGCCGAACTTTGCCTCTCATCAACAATCATTTCCTTCCCAGGAACCGATCGTTTGTCACGAGAGACGTTACGAATACCCTCGATTCTATTTTCGAGCACGATTTCCAAACCCATCAACTTGACGACACCTCATCAACCTACGAACGTTATTCATCATGGCTGATCAGCTCAACATCAACGGCCTCAACATCGGCTCCACTCAGGAGGCCTCTGGTCGCTCCTCTTACATCCCCCCTCATATGCGAGGCAAGATGGGCCAGGCTCCTCCTGCCGCCGCCCCCGCCCCCGTCGCCGGCGGCCCTCCCAACGTCAACGGCGGCCTCAACAACAGTGCCTGGGCTGGGTTAGTATTATATTCTCTCCATCTGATTACCAAACCTTAGTGCTGACCAGGACCTAGTAACAACGGCAACAACACCAACTACGGCGGTGGTCGCGGCGGCGGTGACTGGCCTGCCATGGGCGGTCCCGGTGGCCCTGGCGGCCCCCCTGCTCCCGCTGCGGCTGGCGGTCCTCCTCCTCACTACGGTGGCGGTCGCGGTGGTGGTCGTGGCGGCTGGAACGGTGGTGATCGTGGCTACGGCGGTGGCTACGGCGGCAATGCTGGCGGTGCCGGCGGTGCTCCCGCACACACCCGCGGCTCTGGCGATGGTCAGTGGCGCGACGGCAAGCACATTGCTGGACCCGCCAACCCCCGTGTCGAGCGCGAGCTCTTCGGAACCCCAGACGATCCTTCCAAGCAGCACACCGGTATCAACTTCGAGAAGTACGACGACATTCCCGTCGAGGCTTCCGGTCACGACGTTCCCGAGCCTGTCCTCACCTTCACGAACCCTCCTCTTGATGACCACCTCATCAGCAACATTGGCCTTGCCCACTACAAGGTTCCCACCCCCGTTCAGAAGTACTCTATCCCCATTGTCATGGGTGGCCGTGACTTGATGGCTTGCGCCCAGACTGGTTCCGGCAAGACTGGTGGTTTCCTCTTCCCCATTCTTTCTCAGGCCTTTATCAACGGTCCTTCGCCCGTTCCCGCCAACGCCGCCGGTGGCAGCTTTGGTCGTCAGCGCAAGGCCTACCCCACCTCGCTGATCCTCGCCCCCACCCGTGAGCTTGTCTCGCAGATCTACGACGAGTCTCGCAAGTTCGCCTACCGTTCGTGGGTTCGCCCTTGCGTTGTCTACGGTGGTGCCGACATTGGTTCTCAGCTCCGCCAGATTGAGCGCGGTTGTGATCTCCTGGTTGCCACCCCCGGCCGTCTTGTCGATCTGATCGAGCGCGGTCGCATCTCCCTGCAGAACATTAAGTATCTTGTGCTCGATGAGGCTGATCGCATGCTTGACATGGGTTTCGAGCCTCAGATTCGCCGCATCGTTGAGGGAGAGGACATGCCCGGCGTTCAGAACCGCCAGACTCTCATGTTCTCCGCCACCTTCCCCCGCGACATCCAGATGCTGGCCCGTGACTTCCTCAAGGACTACGTCTTCCTCTCTGTTGGTCGTGTTGGCTCCACTTCGGAGAACATCACCCAGAAGGTCGAGTACGTTGAGGACGTCGACAAGCGCTCTGTTCTTCTCGACATTCTCCACACCCATGGCGCAGGTCTCACGCTGATTTTCGTCGAAACCAAGCGCATGGCTGATTCGCTCTCGGACTTCCTCATCAACCAGAGCTTCCCTGCCACTTCCATTCACGGAGATCGTACTCAGCGCGAGCGTGAGCGCGCCCTCGAGTTCTTCCGCAACGGCCGCTGCCCCATTCTGGTTGCCACCGCCGTTGCCGCTCGTGGTCTCGATATTCCCAACGTCACCCACGTTGTCAACTATGATCTGCCCACCGACATTGACGATTACGTCCACCGCATCGGTCGTACTGGTCGTGCCGGCAACACTGGTCACTCCACAGCGTTCTTCAACCGCGGCAACCGTGGTGTCGTTCGCGAGCTACTTGAGCTGCTCAAGGAAGCCAACCAGGAGGTTCCTCAGTTCCTTGAGACTATCGCCCGTGAGTCTTCCTACGGCGGAGGCGGCCGTGGTAGGTCCGGCGGTGGTCGTGGCCGTGGACAGGGTGCCAACCGCGATTTCCGTAAGTTCGGCGGTGGCGGCTTCAGCAGCGGCGGCGGCGGCGGCTTCGGTGGCCCTCCCAGCAGCGGCTACAGTGGCGGCGGCGGCGGCGGCTTCGGAGGTCCTCCTCCTAACCCCAGCTACGGCGGTGCTGGTGGTGGCTACGGCGGTGGCTACGGCGGCGGTGGCGGCGGCGGCGGCGGCAGCTATGGCAACCCCGGCAGCGGCGCTGGCGGCCAGTCTTGGTGGTAAATACAACCAAACCATCTGGTCTCCCGGCGGTTGAGGTACTGTTTTGCCTCCGAACTCCGCTGTACGCTTCTAAGTTGCCTGCTTTCTGCCGCAGCTTTGTCTCTATTTTTCTTTTCCTTTTCTTTTCCTTTTTTACGCATTTCGACTCGACTTTGCATTTCAGCACGGCAGCATGACCCAAATCCGCGAGACGGTAGCCTCTCATTGCAATGAGGAGCTGAACAGGGCGTCAGGACATGAACGACATCCATCGATAGAGCGTTTGTTTTCGCTGGTCCCCCAACCGATGATACCCTATAGACCGCAGGGGGAAACCTTCAGGAGAGGCAGAGCACACAGCATACGCGAGGCGCGCAGGGCTAGCGCGTCCTGATCTACGGCCTTCATGATCATCACCATGGAAGGTGATTTGACGGCCACGGAGATCATGCATGTGTCTGCTCTCTCTACCCAGTTTTCCCGACAGGCATTTCTCGCCTTTCGACGGAGGATAGAGGGCTCATGCATCTTGCCGTGCATCATAGACAAAAGTGGATTTTCTCGGTTCTCAGTTTTCGGTTCTCTGGTCTATAATATCTCATGAGGCACGGTGTTGCCTTCAGAGGGCGGCAACGGCACCAGGAACGGGCTGGCAACTATGGAATAGTTGGCAGAGCGTTTTTCGAGAGCACTGACGATGGCCTTCCCATTCGAGGATGGGGCTTTCGCGGAAGGGATACCAAAAGTTCTTGTTCTTCAGAAACCAGCGGCTCATTTGGAACGAGCATTTGCCTTCCGACTCTCGCGTGCGATAGCGAGGAGTCGAGAGGCTGCAGGTCTTCGGTCACTGCGTAACCTCGGGGCGGAATCCGAGGGCGCGACCTCGACCGGACCATGGATTCCGGAGATGGACAGCTCGTATGAACTGAGAAGACCCCAATAAAAACACTTGCTGAATACTCTATGATGACCCTAATCGTGATGTTATTTGTGTCTTGGGTGACCAGTCCTCGTTCTGGGAGAAGACGATTCAAGCTGACGTAAGCAACGATGCCACAGAATGCTTAGTCACGGTACTCTCAATCCGGCTCTCTCCTTCCAGACTCGATTTTCAGTAGCTGCACGTCCAGTAAGTGGGTCCTTGGTGACACGCGTCTATTGGAGCAAAGCTCAAAGGCTCGTGTCCTCGGTGAGCCGGTGAGGTTATCCGACGAGGCGTGGCCCTTGCGATGGGCGCAATTCAGGGCCGCAAGGTTCTGTAGTAGTCAGTTACGACCTGCAAAAATACTTTGCGGCTACCCTCATCCAGGTCCCATATTCCTCCGCCAGTCGCCCGCTTGTGCTATCTGCTTTCCTTTCGAATTCCTTCTCCCAACATATACTTCAACACGGACTCCTAAGATAGAGGTTATTGGTGAACGTCATCTATTCGATGTCCCGTTGATCCGTATCCCTGCGCGACTCGATCATCACCTCACTGGAATCTTTCACGTATCGACAGTCGCGAACCCCCATCAATCCAAAGCATTTCGCCAACGCGATCCTCCATCGATACAAGTCACGAGCCCGCTGTAAGGGCAGCCATAGAGCTTGTCCCCTTAGAAAATGGCGTCCCGATCACCTACTAGCTCAGCAGTTGCTGGCCCTGCCTCCGACATGGAAGCACCCAGTTCACCTATACATCGAGATGAGGGCAAATCATTCTTGTCGCAGGCCATGACGGAGGATGAAGACACTCGAATGATCGACATGACGCCCGAGCCGGCAGAGAAGACGGGACGCGGCAAGGGCAAGTCGCAGGGCAAGGACAAAGATGGTGGCACAATTGGCAAGATCAGACATCTCAAGAAAGAGGACGGTGAGCCGCTGTGGCGAAAAGACATACAACACGATTTCCTCAAGGCTGTCTTTGATGACATGACACCTGCCTTTACCAACTCGTACGAACCTGGACGCGACAAACAGAACTTTGCCGACCTCTACATAGACACCATGTCAAGGAGCAGCAAGACGAGCAAAGTCTTACGCGACAAGCTGCTGAGCGATCGAGATGCCGCAAAGGGCATGGCAATGGTGTGCCTGCTCGTGAACATCGGGCGGATGAACACAACACTAAACTGTAAGGCACCCAAGTCCACACCACACTGCCATGCAATCAATTGACACAATGAATCACAGTCTTCCCCGAGATGCGAGCCCAACTCCGTACCTACCATGCCATTCCTTCGCTGCAGGCACACCAAGACCCCCACGCATACAAACAGCTCCAGGATGCGCCTCGTTTGAAGTCCATCCTGAAGGGCGGAGCCGAGGACCGACAGGAGCCTGGGAGTCTCAATAAGATCAAAGCCCGCGACTGTCCGCGCACCAACCCGGTCAACCTCTTATTCGTAATATGCAACGCTGCTCTTAAGGTAGCAGAGCTGCATTTTCCTCCAGGGCAAGAGTTCCACGATCTTGTCATGAAGACAAATTACACGAGCAAGTCTCGGGCCAAGGCCTTCTTGTGGATCATGTGGTTCTACCTCGAGTCTGACTTTACTGAGGAAGGCTGCGACGAGAACCCTTTTGGTCGCGGCGTGGACTACGGCGTGGATGTTGCAAATCAGGGCGTGCCACGCCTCGAAGAGATGACGCCCGAGGAGGAGGCTCGTGAGAACATTGACACGCCCAAGGAAATGGAGTTTGGTCACGAAAGGCAGAAAACGCGTGCTAAGATTCTCGAAGCCGATCAGCAGTTTCTTGACAGCCAGAGCAAGCGTGGAGGACGGGGTGGCAACCGCGCGCCTGTGGAGGAGGGCCCGGCGATATTGCCCAGGATCCGACCTTCCCGCAATGAATCGGACATGGATAGCATCCGGTCGACTCCGCCGCCGAAACTGCTGGGTCATTTAGGGGCTAAAAGCTCAGGTCGCCGGGGAGGCGCGTCGCTCAAGTACCAGGCCTTCGAGGCCTCGTCGCCCGGCGGGCCTGGGGCGGAGGGCATCATCGCTAGAAAGCCAAGACCACCAACAGCTCACCAGCTAGCGGTAGAACGCAACCGCAGTCAGCGTGTGGAGCATATCCTGGACCAGGGGTTGCGTAAAGAGCACCGCAGGGCTCGTAAGCTTCGCAAAGCGGAAGGCCATCTTTTGCGGGCCATGCGACGGATCAAGCAGATGGAGGATCCACTTGAAGACAGCGATGTCGAAGACGAAGTACGGCGCGAGTTGTCTGCCGGTGGCCCGCTGCGAGATGCTGGCCAATACCGCCATCGCGGCATGGCGGGACTCACGCCGCTCAAGTCTGAAGATGACGACTTTGGGGAAGAGTCGGCAGCGATAGCCGCAGCATACCGGCGGGTCAATCGTCGTCTGGCGCGGTGGGCGCAGTACAAGGGAACCGGCCGAGGCGTGATCGCACCCGTCAAGAAGCGCAGCCTTGTGAACGGTGTAGCCGAGCCAGAGGAAAACGGCGACATTGGTGAAGTCGGCGACGAGACGCTGCTGGCAGGGGACGAGGGCCATAGCGACGAGCGCGTCAACGGACACACTAACGGTGACGTGACAATGGCTGACGACGGTGAGGAGGTGGACGACATGGAAGACGCAGACAGGACAGCTGTCGGGGCTAATAGCGGCGGGGAGGAGGAGGAGCTCGACGACATGGAAAGGTCTCTGCTGGGCATGGCGCCCGGTGATGAGGACGATTCGTCTGACTCGGACTAGGTCAGGGGTTGAGGCATATGAAGCTTTGTGTACCGCACTACCTGTATTATATGAATGCACGAACAAGGTGGCTTGAGGGTTGCGGGGCATTGAGTTGCTTCATTCAAGATAAGACGTAAAAGCAGCTCTACCTTGAGGCGTCACTTTGCACATGCGGTTTCTTCCATGATGGTGGCCCAACAATGAGTTGCTATAAGTAGATGTTCTGGTCTGTCGAACTCGCCTACTTGTGACGTGAAACCAACCTCCCCCTTTCCCCGTGTGAAATTCTTCGAAACCACGCTGAACGTGTAGTGCTGCTGATGTAGGGACGAATGAGTGACACCCACAGACAGCCGTAGGAAGCGGCAGCATCCCCTGCTTGGCCATGGAAGCATAGTCGTGGCGCGTCAATCCCTGATGGGCGAGTCTAATAGGCCTCTTGACTTTTGAGGACAGAGATAAGGTGCTTCAGCTAGCTGGCGCAGACGTTCTGGCAAGGCCATTGTGGAGGCACGGCCAGACTGCACAAGATTCATTAGTTCAGTTCCAAATCCCTTTCGATGTGCTGTTGCTCTGAACATCGGACGTCTTCGTGTTCGGACGTAAACTACCTATGCTTTTGACATTATTTCTCACGCGTCCAAGCGGAACATCCCTGTTCTGTTGTCAGAAATGTACAGCATCAAGTCTGCCCCGCACAATGGTAATCAATATAAGCTTCAGCGTCGCAGCTCGGGTGACAGCGTTTGTGATACTCTGGTGTAGCATTGAGTCAGTGACAAAGGCGACAGTTACACAGCAAAAGCTCGACGTTGAGCGAGGCGCATGAAACGAGTCCAAAGTTCCCCGCTCTGCCCGACTTCCCAAGGTATGGCAACAACACAGCTTGATCGCATCGGATGGATTGAACGGAGGCTTTTGACAGGAACCGGACCTCAGGGTCAATAGGATACAGCACAAATGTGGCTCAAACGCGTGTGGCTGACCTCCCGCGCGGCTGAACTAGGGCCGAGGCACGGCGGCGAATAATTCGGAGCCGAATCGGCAGGGATCACGGGGCACTCGACCTTTGCAGTCGATGGGCGGGCGAATGATTCATGACCTGTTGCCTGCCTTATCGATGTGTGACTGGGGCGGGTTCATTTCCTGACTTGAGATCTCTGGCTTTCTGTAGCATCGATCGTTCCTTTGAATAACCATTCGGTCCCGTCCTCTTACGGACCACGAATCAAGGACGAACCAGAGGAACCACCAGTTGGGGAGGCCGCTACGCTCCAGGCTGCAGTAGTGACGACAGAACGCCGCGTGAAGACCATGGAGTTTACGGATGTAATGAAGAGAGACAAGGCAAGCCGGGTCGGAGGTCAACGAGGCCGACCGGTAGGGGGGGGGGGGCGGCGCAGACGCTAGCGTGTGCTGTGTAACGCTTGATTATCAATTCGCATGTTCGGACTTGCTCCACTTGCAAGTGCGAGGTGCGCCGCGTAGTAATACGACGGGCAGTCGCCCCTGCCACTGCCACTACTAGGTGCTTTCCCACGGCTTCAGCACCCACACGGCACCGATGCGGCACGTTCTTTCCGGGGAAAGAGCAGCCCCAAGAGGGTCGGCTAGGCACACGGATTTGTCGCAGGTCAGGTCATTGGGCCTGGCAAGGATCCAATATGGGTACATAGTGGAAGGCCTGGCCTGTTTGCCTTCATCTACTTGTCTCTTGATGACATCCATACTCGAGCACTGCAATTCAACGACCTGAAGGTTCCAGTTGGAGGATCAGGCCATTCACACACACACACACACACACACACACACTTTCTCTCTCTCTCCAGGATTACACCCTGCCGGTTCTGTATCTCATATCCCGACCCAAAGCGACGATCCAGACATAGTGAGCCCTGTCGTATGTTTTGGGTTGCGTAGAACTTTGTCGTGCCACCGCTTCCTCGTGGCAAGGCGACTCACAGGCGCCACACCGCAGCCTGAATCTACCTCAACTCGCCTTGGCACGGCGAGTCGGACACTTTTTAACTAGAAGCCGAGCTACTGCCGTATTGCAAACATAAACAAGACAACTCAAAATCAGACTCCAGATAATACGCATTCTACCAACTGGCAGCATACCCAGCCATCCTTCCAGCAGACAATGCCAGAACCTGCCGACAAGGAAGTCAGGGCTCCCGATCAGCTAGCTGCCTCCATTCAACCCAACGATGCCACAGAGGCCGTTGGAGGCCCGGCCGTCCCCAGCCCAGAGCATGACGAGAGGATCGAGGAGAGGAAGAGCTTGAGTGACGAAGATGAGACGGTCAAAAGGGTCAAGCTCCAGCGATCAGCGAGCCATGCCACTGATGTCAGTGCGACCACCACTGCTTCAAGACCACCACCTCCTGAAAAGAAGCCGTGGTACAAAACGCCAAATCCCTTGCGGTGGGGCTCTATACCGCCAGTGCCCAAAGAACGCGGAGAATCTAGAGAGTATCACGCTGGTTTCTTTAGTTTGTTGATATTCCACTGGATGGGACCGCTAATGAACGTAAGCCATTCTTGCCCAAACTCATCCCTCTACGCGACTCCCCGCTTGAATGCTGTGCTAAAACATAGTAACACAGGTTGGCTACAAGCGGCAATTGGAGCACAATGATCTATGGCACGTCAATCCGGATCGCACAGCCGAGAAATTGTCGTTGAAGCTCCAGGCCTCGTTTGAGAAGCGCGTCAAAAAAGGGGAGAAGTATCCTCTGCTATGGGCCATGCATGAGACCTTTTTCTTCGAGTTCTGGCTCGGTGGCATGCTTCAAGTCATGTCAACAGTCTTCCAGGTCTTATCTCCCTTTACGCTGCGTTTCCTCATCCAGTTCGCCAACGATGCCTGGGATGCCACACGCAACGACTCGCCACCTCCTCCGATCGGCCACGGCATCGGCCTCGTCCTTGGCGTAACTTTTATGCAGGTTTTCCAGAGTTTGGGCACGAATCACTTCATTTATCGCGGCATGATCGTCGGAGGCCAGGCGCGAGCCGTACTCATCAGTGTCATCTTCGAGAAGTCCATGTCTATATCTGGCAGAGCTAAAGCTGGCGGACTGCTGGTCGCTGACGGTCCCGGCGCTGAAGCTGGCAAGGGACATGGCGACCAAGTGAAGAAGCAGAAGACAAAGAAGCAGAAGAAGACCAAAAATGCAACGGAACCTGCCAAAGGGCCAGGGGTATCGGGCGATGGCACCGGCTGGGGCAATGGCCGCATCGTCAACCTGATGAGCGTTGACACGTACCGCATCGACCAAGCCTCAGCCCTCTTCCACATGATATGGACAGCCCCCATATCCATCCTCATCACGTTGGCTCTCCTAGTCGTAAATCTGAGTTACAGCGCATTGGCTGGCTTCGCACTTCTGGTCATCGGCATTCCTCTCCTCACCAGAGCCATCAGAAGCCTCTTCAGAAGGCGCAAGGCCATCAACAAAATTACCGATCAGCGAGTCAGTCTGACTCAGGAAGTGCTGTCCTCGGTTCGGTTTGTCAAGTACTTTGGCTGGGAGACCGCGTTCCTCGATCGTCTCAAGGAGATTCGCAAGCGCGAGATCTACAGCATCCAGATCCTCCTGGCGATCCGAAACGCAATCAACGCCGTTAGCATGTCATTGCCCATCTTCGCTTCCATGTTGGCGTTTATCACATACTCTCTCACGAACAATAACATGAACCCTGCAGAGGTTTTCTCCTCTTTGGCGCTCTTCAATGGACTGAGAATGCCCCTGAACCTGCTACCTCTAGTTCTTGGGCAAGTCGTCGATGCATGGTCATCCGTCAAGCGTATTCAAGAATTTCTGCTCGCGGAAGAACAAGAGGAGGATGTTGTGCGGAAGCCTGACGGCAAGCATGCTCTAGAGATGCATGCCGCTGGTTTTACCTGGGAGAGGACGCCTACTCAAGACGCCGACAAGGTTGCCGATGCCACGAAAGGTGCCAAGGACACCAAAACGACGAGCGAGACTGAGAAATCTGGACAGCGGCCACCGTCTGCTGGCGACAGTTCAGGTGGCAGCACTCTTATCGAAGAAGAGCGAGAGCCATTCAAGCTGCAAGGCATGGACTTTCAGATCCACCGCAATGAGCTGGTTGCGGTCATTGGGACTGTGGGCAGTGGTAAAAGCTCTCTTCTCGCTGCATTGGCAGGCGACATGAGGAAAACGTCAGGTGAGGTCGTCTTGGGCGCGTCGAGAGCTTTTTGCCCTCAGTACGCGTGGATTCAGAATGCGACTGTCAGGGATAATATTCTTTTCGGAAAAGAGATGAACAGGGAGTGGTACAACGAGGTCATCGATGCGTAAGTCTTCTCATACTCATACCTTGTGCAAGGCTGACCATTCATCAGGTGCGCTCTTCGCCCAGACCTCGAAATGCTGCCCAACGGTGACAAGACAGAAATCGGCGAGCGAGGCATCACTATCTCTGGCGGGCAGAAGCAGCGCCTGAACATCGCCAGGGCAATATACTACGACTCTGACATTGTTCTCATGGACGACCCCCTCAGTGCTGTTGACGCTCATGTTGGACGCCACATCTTCGACAGCGCCATTCTTGGATTATTGAAGGACAAGTGCCGTATTCTTGCCACGCATCAACTTTGGGTACTCAACCGAGTCGATCGGATTATTTGGATGGAGGGTGGCAAAATCATGGCTGTGGACACTTTCGACAACTTGATGAAGAATTACGAGAGCTTCCGGCAACTGATGGAAACGACCGCAGTCGAAGAGACCAGCGAGACCATTCCTCAGACAAATGAGCCAGTAGCTGCGAGCGGCGGCAAGAAAAAGAAAAGTGCTGCGTTGATGCAGCAAGAAGAAAAGGCTGTATCCAGTGTGCCTTGGTCGGTTTATAACGCATACATTCGCGCATCAGGCTCGATCTTCAACGCCCCCCTGGTCTTGTTTCTGTTGGCCCTCTCCTTAGGAGCCAACCTCATGACTGGTCTGTGGCTATCTTACTGGACCAGCGACAAGTATGGTATGACGACAGGCGCCTACATTGGCATCTATGCTGCGCTCGGCGTTCTTCAAGCATTGCTCATGTTTGGCTTTTCAATCTGTCTCTCCATCTTCGGCACCGCATCCAGTCGAGTCATGCTTCGCCAGGCTGTCACGAGAGCACTACGAGCACCTATGTCCTTTTTCGACACGACACCCCTGGGACGAATCACCAATCGCTTCTCGAGGGATGTGGATGTCATGGACAACACGCTGACGGATGCCATGAGAATGTACTTTCTCACACTCGGCATGATCATATCCGTTTTTGCACTCATCATCGCCTTCTTCCCCTGGTTTGCCATCGCACTGGTACCCTTATTCTTCATGTTTATCTTTGCCGCAGCTTACTACCGCGCATCAGCTCGAGAGGTTAAGCGTTTCGAGTCGGTCCTGCGGTCGACTGTTTTCGCCAAATTCAGCGAAGGGCTTAGTGGCGTGGCTAGTATTCGGGCGTACGGCCTGAAGCAGCACTTCATCGAGGATCTTCGCAATTCTATCGACGAGATGAATACCGCGTACTACCTTACCTTCTCAAACCAACGGTGGCTGTCAGTGCGGCTTGATGCGATCGGTAATCTGCTTGTCTTGACTGTAGGTATCCTTGTCGTTACCTCGCGATTCAGCGTCTCTCCAAGCATCGGCGGTCTAGTGTTGAGCTACATCTTGGGCATCGTTCAGATGATTCAGTTCACTGTACGTCAGCTTGCTGAGGTGGAGAATGGAATGAATGCTGTAGAGCGGCTGCAGTACTATGGGACTCAGTTGGAAGAAGAGGCGCCTCTACACACGATCGAGGTGCGGCCAACGTGGCCAGAGAAGGGAGAGATCATCTTTGACAACGTTGAGATGCGCTATCGCGCCCAGCTACCGCTAGTTTTATCAGGTCTGTCGATGCATGTTACGGGTGGTGAGCGAGTGGGCATAGTGGGGAGGACGGGAGCGGGCAAGAGTTCCATCATGTCGACCCTGTTCCGGCTCGTGGAGCTGTCAGGCGGCCACATCACTGTCGATGGCATCGATATCTCCACCATCGGACTCCATGATCTGCGATCCCGCCTCGCCATCATCCCGCAGGACCCAACCCTGTTCCGCGGCACCGTGCGCTCAAACCTCGACCCCTTTCATGAGCACACGGATTTGGAGCTGTGGTCAGCTTTGCGACAGGCTGATCTTGTACCGGCCGATGCCCGTCCCGATGAGCCGCGGACCAAAGACTCCCCGCGTGTGCACCTTGACATGGTTGTCGAGGAGGATGGCCTCAACTTCTCCCTCGGCCAGCGGCAGCTTATGGCATTAGCACGCGCTCTTGTTCGCGGCGCCCGTATTATTGTCTGTGACGAGGCTACAAGCTCTGTCGATATGGAGACGGACGACAAGATCCAGAACACTATCGCAACGGGCTTCCGTGGGCGCACGCTCCTCTGCATTGCTCACCGGCTGCGCACTATCATTGGCTACGACCGTATCTGCGTCATGGACGCCGGACGCATCGCAGAGCTTGGCACGCCGCTCGAGCTTTGGCAGCGGGATGGAATATTCAGAGGCATGTGTGACCGAAGCGGCATACGCGTCGAGGACATTAAAAGCGCCAGCGCCGAGATGGGCACGGCTCATGAGGCGGGCGTTGAGTCGCTCGAGGCTGGGAAGAAGGAAGAAAATTTCTGAACATTGCCTGTCTAGTTGGGAGACAAGCGACTCAACATATACGAGGAGTTGGCGGTCAGACTCTGGAGCAACGGCCACCCACATCCTGCATACATTATTGATCTCAAAAGGTGTTCGGAGGAGCCCTTGCATTTGGCTGCGTCATGTCTCAGTGGTGAACAGTGGTTGGCGTTTGGTAATTTGGAAAATAGGTAGGAAAAAGACAATGAAATACGAAAGGTATCTTTACATCGGACCCAACGGCTCCTTTACCTTCAGGATGACTGTGATGCCCGCGATATGACTCTGGGATATCACCAACGGGTTAAGAGAGAATGGACTGCTTCTCGCGTCCGCTGAGGGGACAGGGCTTCAGCAGCCGCGGCGCGGTCTGTCAGGAAGCGTGGTGCGACGTTGGACGGAGATCCGGCAGTAGCCTGGACTGGTGGTGGTGCGTCATGTCTCGGATCGCGTGCGACATGGACTCCATTGTGAGCCAGACATGCAGGCACCTTCCGCGGCGTGTCACAAGCTCAAGCGGTGAACAGAGCGAAGCAGAGTTCACGAGGTTCGACGAGGGCTGGAAAATGTTGCACGTCCACATGTCCGATGAGGCCGATTGACGATGCGACGGCTACCAATACCCTTCACATAGCGCACATGCAAAACAGAGGCTAGGGAAGGCGAGATGGAGAGAGAGAGAGAGAGAGAGAGAGAGAGAGAGAGAGAGAGAGAGAGAGAGAG